AATTGCAGGAGCTATTCAGTTTCATATGATGGGCTCATTTTGCCCAAGGCTGCAATCACAGTCATTGTGCACAGAAGTAACACTTTAGGTTTTCATTCAGGCACACGGTATTCAATTTGGTTCTTTCACTCTGTTATTTGTTCACTCAAGGCCTCAAAATACATAGAGAGAGCAGGAACATGAGGGTTTTTATTTTTTATTTCAAGCCTTGAACAAAAACTTTTTTCAGATGTGATTTTTTTTGTTTAATTTTATAATTGCTGGCATAATGTGATTGATTTCATGTGCACTGACACTGAACTGAGCTTTTTATTTTACCATATTAAGGTCTGTTATTTGTGTGAAAATGAAAACTCAGACTCAGGTGGTAACTAACAGACAGTTCAGTTTGTTCCATCTCACTAAATTGTTCAATGTCAACAAGGGCTGCACAATATATTAAAAACGTACCTTCACTGAGCGATAAAGATATCACAAAAGACTGCTTGAACTGTGATAAATAGTATATTTACGCGTGCCATTTATTCACAAGCTGCGTGTCAATATATTTGGCCAACGAGATGGAGATCTATTGTCTTAGATGCCCAGATGTAGATGTGAAGGAGTGATCATGAAAACCAATCCCTGCTACAACAGCGGCGTCTAGTGACTTTAGGCCTGCTAGTTTGGAAAATATTTCTCGTGTCACAGAAACTGCTAAATGTGAAACGTGCCTGTGGATATTCTCATTCATCCAGGTCATAGTTATCTCTTTGCCTTGAGATAAATGTGAAACACGTGTTATGGATGTCATTCTCATACTGTTCCTTGACGTGTTTTTGTTCTGGTGCTCTGCACTAGCCTCGCGTCACCAGGCTCTTCACATAAAGTGGAGAGCCTGGTGATGATTCACTCTGAATTTTGTCTGGATTCTGGTTACGGTCTAGAGAGCGGATGCCGAATTCACCAAATTCACCAAATTCACCAAAGTAAAAATATTCACCAAAGTAAAACTTTAAATTCTGGCGCACCATCGATTTGGGGTGATGAGGGGTGTAAGAAAATTGATTAACTTAATGGCTTGGGGCTTTTCTAGTAAATTACTTTCTTTAAATTAAAGTTTCACCACATTTTTATTAGCTTGGTGCTTTTATTTTGACGGAAAGGCGCATCCATCGAATTCCGGATCCTGTCTCACTCGCCCTGGTTCCGGTTCCTTACCAAAACGGCCACTAACGGCCCCAGACTACTCTGCACAGTTCTGACACCTGTCCACCCGCCCACCTGCTCTCCGAGCCCGGTCTCACTCTGCGAAAAAAAAGCGTCCTTTAATGTCGGCATGATATGCAGCCGGTTGCCGTTATAGTTTAGCTGCGCCCGGTGGTCTTGGGGGGAAATGCAGCCGGACAAAGATGAAAGTTAAGGCAGCAGATGTCCAAGTGGGAGGGTCGGAGGGGTGGTGGATGGGTCCAACAAACTGACTTTCACCCGGGAGACTAGTGTTTGTGTCCTGTAAGATTTTAAAGCCATATCCTGTTCTTTTTTCCTAAACCTAACCACGTGTTTTGTTGTTGAAGAAAAGAAGACAATGCATGTAACAGGCAGAACTTCAACAACCAACGCACCCACCATACCTTACATGTCGTATTTGGATGTGGAAAGTCCTTGACCAAACGTTGATATGTGACAAGGTTGGAGTGAGGATGTGTTGGCTCTCATCCTCAGCTCTCTGAACTCTGTGCGCCACTGCTTCCTGGTAAAGTCAGTGGGGAGCACAAACGTCCCGAAATTGTGAATATATAGGATATTACTACAGAAGTTCCTGTTATCTTACATCCAAATGTCTTGCTGTGACATTGTGATAATGTGATTGTGTTATCGATCAATACTGTATTGACTCATGTCCATGATGACCCAATGAAGGATTACTGTCCAGGTAACGCACTGGTGTCATTTTTTGTCTCACTAATTTCAATCTGCAAAGTAACTAACGCTAATAAATAAATGTAGTTGAGTAAAAAGTGCAATATTTGTCTCCAAAATGTGGTGGAGTAGAAGTGTAAAGTTGCATATGATGGAAATACTCAAGTACAAGTATATCAAAATGTACTTAGCTACACTCCTCACTCCTGTCAACACACGAACATCAACACCACAACTGGATGATGTTTGTAGATCTGCTCTCCAGGCTGTCTGTCTGTCTGTCTGTCTGTCTGTCTTTGTGACAGTAAAGAGCTATTAAAGAAGGAGCCAGTATCAGATGCAGATGTGGGATGGATGTTAGGAACCATCAGTCCTCCTCTGCTGTAACTCAGCCACAGCTACACACACTCGTCACACACACACACACACACACACACACACACACACACACACACGAGCGTACGCCTTTTTCATATTCCTCGTAGATCACGTGGAAAATAATTGGTGGCATCAGTCACACCGGAGAGTCAGGCGAGAGGAGAGACAAAGTGATGGTGAGGGTGTCCAGAGAGTCAGAGAGAGAGAAGTGAACCCAAGCAGAGACTGAGAGATGGGAGACGGAGAAGGGAGGCGAGGACGAGGAAGGTAGACGTAGAGACAAAGAGCATGAAAGATTAAAGAGAAAGCAAGACAGAGAGGGATGTGGAGAGGAGAGGGGAATAAGGCTGGAACATATTCTGTACACAGAAAACAAACACTCACAGATCTGCAGAGATCAGAAGACAGTAAATATCATAAGGACAGATGGCATCGCTCAGAGAGAACAGCAGGCCGGGGCTGCCAGCCAGTGCATATGTTGCCTGGAAGCTTCCTTATGAATTTTAATTTGTATTTGCTCATTAACCAAGTTACCATATGACTTACATGGGGCTAAGAGGTTTTCTTCTGGGCAGCAGAGGAGGGGTATTTTGGGTCAGGCTGGCAGTGAGGAGGGATCTCACTGGACTTAAAATGAGGAATGATGTAATCTGTGTTTACATCGAGATTAGAAAATGTCTCGTAGAGAATTCTTCTTTGACTGTAGCGTTATCACAGCTCCAACTTCCACTCTGGTCCTGATAGGAGCTGCAGTGTAACTGACCACAGGCTGAATCACAGATCTACCAATAATAGTGAGTAATTTGAGCTGGGACAGGTCAGCGCAGTCTCAAATGTGTTTTGGAAAAGAGAGGGAGGGGGCAGCTATGGAGGATGCTCCGTCTCCCCAGGTTTGGTGTTTGGGCCTGAGTGGTGGAGTCAGGAGGGTGGCATCAGAGGAGCGGAGACTGAGGGAAGGAGTGTGGCAGTGGAGCAGGTTGGTGAGGTAGGAGGGGGCCTGGTTATGAAGGGCTTTATGAGTGAGGAGAAGGACTTTGGATTGGATGTGGAGATTCTGAAGGACAGGGGTGATGTGATGGGTGAGCAGACGGGCAGCAGAGTTCTGGATGCATTGGAGTTTATTCAGGACTTTGGATGATGTACCATAAAGAATGTTGTGACAGTTGTCAATTCTGGATGTGATGAAGGCATGGATGAGAGTGTCAGCAGCAGTGGGGGAGAATGATGGGCGAGGCTGAGCTATGTTTTTTAGGTGGAGGAAGGCAGTACTGGAGATTTGATTGAAATGTTTTTCGAAAGAGAGGTTGCGTTTCAGTACATCGAACTGGCCTCACACCTGCAGGCCCAACACGTTCTTATCCAAAGATGTCACATATCTCTGCTTTGTCAGTGGACGTCATGTTTTCACATTACCTGCTAGGTATCCTCCCACGTCTGCTGTTGACGTTCCAGGACACTGCTACCAATGCTGGGATGTCCACAGAAGCACATGGTTAGCTTTAGGCAACAAAAGCATGCAGTTATGTTTTGAAAAGAACATCATGGTTTGGCTCTACATTACCGAGTGAAAGTCTGCAGTTTGTTGGATTTTGCAGTTTCTTATATTATGTCGTTACCAGCAGCATTTCAACCTGATGCCATCATACTGCATATCATACTGCTGTGACAGGTGCTATCCAGCCAACCAGCGGTGTATCTTAACACCACGAAAAGTTACATCCAGCTGCGGCGTATCATACTGCTGCAAAAGGTGTCTTTTGGCATTGGGTGTCTGACACTGAAATCATTGACAAAGCTGAGGTATTAAACGACTTTGGAATGATTTTACTGACTGCATGTAGCCACACCAGCTCAGGACCTCCACATCCAGCGTCTTCACCTGCAAGATCAATAAAGAACAGCCACCCGAACAGTTGATGCAACAGTTGGTTTGCACAACATTCCATCGTAACCAACACGTGTGGTTGTGAGGCTGGTTGGATGTGCTGCCAAATTTAGGGAACAACACTGGAGACGACTTACGATAGTGAACTGAACATTAAGTTTATGAGCAACAGCTCTGGTGGACACTCGTGCAGTCACTGTATATTTTTCTTAATTTTAGTTAACTGACCCTTTAATAACCGCAGTCCTATGTCTGTAAGGTGCAAGAGAAAGGATGGCACTGTGCAGTACAAAAGCATCACAACAGTGGTGACGTCACTCCAATAATGCTGCCAAAAATAACTTTCAGATTTCTGCTGTTGAGAGATTTTTCCTCCCTGTTCAGCTCTAAGTGAATAATTGGACCACAAATCAAACAAATACCACAATCATAGCCTGCGGCGCTGTGTCAACTGCTTATTCAGCCAGTGTTACTATGAGAGGGATTAGTTTGTGTTCAGTCCATTCATACAGTATGTGAATCAGCTGAATCGCCACGGTAACAGTAATTTAATAAAGCCTGGTGAAGCTTTAAACAGTCTTAGCCTGGTCCCAATAATGTTTGGTACGGTTTAAATCCTGCTTAATGTAGCCTGGCAGAGGAGAAATAATCACGTCATTTTAGAGCTTGCAGGTTCAGTGTGTGTGTGTGTGTGTGTGTGTGTGTGTGGCTACAGATGTGTGCATTACCTGAGCTACTGAGCCAAAACTCGTTATTTAATGATTCGATTTATTATGCACAGCTGATTTGTGTGTGTGTGTGTGTGTGTGTGTGTGTGGGCATTTTGTCTCCACAGGTTCATCCTGGTGTTCGGATGTCTGGTTCTCTCAGTATTTTCTACAATCCCTGCTCACCAGGAATTCTCTGCACACTGCCTGCTCATCCTGGTAGGACGCACATGCACGCACGAGAGCACACACACACACACACACACACACACACACACACAGAGTAAGTGTGTTCAATCAGGATGTGTCTCCCAGGGAGGACTTACTTATTCTGCGCTGATGAATTTTGAAAGTTCTACATGATTATGTTAATAGTATTGTGTGTGTGTGTGTGTGTGTGTGTGTGTGTGTGTGGTGTGCGTGTGTGTGTGTGCATGTGTGTGTGTGTGAGTGATGCTCATGTCTGAATTAGAAATGCTGATTGTGCATCCTCAGCACTGTAATGAATTGTAATAGGTCCCTCGCTACTCAAGATCAAAATCAAGCTGTTACAACTCAATTGAAGTGAACAATCTGCGCTTCAGATGTGATTAAGCAGAAAATCACGGGGACAGCGGGGCGGAGGGAAGGAGGGAGGATGTAGCACAAATAAACTAGAAGCAACAACACATCCATCTTAAGTAGAAACACTGTTTATGTACAGAGCAGTGCGCAGACGTCACAGGGTCACTTTACTGAAGCCACATAAATATGAATCACCTGTTGTAGCAGCCTTGGAGACAGTTTTGTTTTCATTTGCCCTGGTTATGAGATCCATCTCTGAATTTCTGCTTCCACTCCAATAACATGGAGGAAAAGGATTCAGTGTGCTACGCTTTCTCGCTACCGGCTGTAGCCTGTTTCCTAAATTGTTGAACTACCTTTTAAGGAAATGATTTCGCAGTTTATTCCAACAAATATAAAACAAGGTTAGCCCTTCTTACTGCAGACATCTTTAACTGTCATAGCAGGAAAAGCTCAGGTGTAACTAATAACAGTGAGGATGGCTCTGTTCCACTGAAGTGTCGCAGTGAGTCAAACAAGTGAGCCAGCATGCGTAATAAGAGGACCCTGGAACTGGCACACCTAAATGGAATACAGCCAGTATTAATGTTATTAATTACGCCTATTCTTTCCCGCCAGGATATGACAACATGTTGACCATGTCCAAAAATGATAGTACAAGTAATTTATTAAACATTTACCTTATATCGACCTTTGAAATAGTAAGACAGGAAATTTTATTTATGAATTGCCCTTTTCAAACAAGAGTTACAAGGTGCTGAGCAATAAAAACTTGAAAGAAAAATAACAAAGCTGAGAAACAGAAGATAAAAGGTCTTAAAACTACACAGAGAAAAACAGTATAAATGCATTAAAACTGCACAGAAGGCAAATACACGTTACAAAACAAAGTGCTTACAAAACAAATTAGTTTTTAATAGCTTCGTAGAAATATCCACTGACTCTGCGTTTTTATAGGTAAGGGAAGATGGTTTCAAGGACTGAGAGCTAAAGCTGCAAATGTGCGGTCAGCCTTAGAGGTGAAGTTAGATTTTAGGACTTGATCAGAAGACCTGAGGGATTACGGTGATCCCACAATAGCCAGGAGACACAGTAATTCAGAAATGTAAAGCTGATCCAGCTGGTGTAGGTGATTAAAAGACTATTGTTATTAAAAGAATGCAGCAGATTGATCTGAGAGTGTTTTCTGTAGGCGACAGCTACAACTGCCTTTACTGCCTGTGCCTCTGCATCTGTAGCATTTAAAGGTTTAAGCATGTGGGTGTGTGCGTGTGTGTGTGTGTGTGTGTGTTCTGCAGGAGTTTGTGATGATTGTAGTGTTTGGTCTGGAGTACATCATCAGGATATGGAGTGCTGGCTGCTGCTGTCGCTACCGAGGCTGGCAGGGACGCCTCCGCTTCGCCAGGAAACCGTTCTGTGTCATAGGTAGGTCTGTGTGTGTGGGTGTCACAGTGTGTCACTGACTGTCTAAGCAATAGAAGGTATATGCTGTGTCTCAATTTGCATTCTTCTGTACTTATCCTTGCCATTTAAGGTGCATAAGTGCATTTACACTGACAGGTGTTGCAAAATGCAGTGCACTGTGGTGTAGTCTTGGTCCCATCATGCCAATGTAGCATAAAGGGAAGGCACCACCAAAAAAAATGGAAATGCAAACACGTCTGCGGATATTTTGGCAAATTCGCAAATTGCCATTTATTCTTTAAAACCTGAGCAAATTAGCTTGGTTTCTTCCACAAACATGGGAAGTGGGCAATGAGCAATGAAAAAAGAAATGACCCAAAAAATTAGCAAGAAATTAGTAAATTTAGAAAATTAAAAACAAGAAAATTAGTTAAAAAAAGAGGAAAAAGCAAACAAACAATGAAATAACCTGGAAAAAAAGAGTTAAAAATTTATAATAATTCTGTAGCATGATTTTAAATATTTAATAATGAATAAATAAATGAATAAATACAGTTTTTTCCTAGCTATTTTCTTTCTTTCTTTAATTTAATTTAATTTAGTTTATTTTTCATTGTACTTATATGTGTGTATGTATGAATTTTGATATGTGTGTGCATGTGTGTATATATATATTTCTTTTTTCTTTTATTATTCTACTTATCTACTCTTATTTTTTCTTTAACATAACTTATTTATTTACAACTAAACTTCCATTCCATTCTGTTGTCTTGTTTTGAAAAATACTGAACAACATTTTCATAATTTATAGCTATTATATTTTAATGCAGAGACGTTGTTCAATGTTCCTGTCCTGTTTAAAAAAGGGGGGATTCACACTTGTAATTATGTATTGTTATCTGTCTATTCCTAATAAAAAGGATTAAATAAAAAAAAAATATCTCTAAATCTATTAATTTTTTGCAACTTGTGGAACATTTCTCACCAAGTTGCTTGTTGCCTTTTTTCCCCATGGTTTTTGGAGAAATCGCACCAATTTGCTCAGGGTTCAAATGTTTAAATACTTGGGAATGGCGTCCGAAACCAGCACAAGAGAAGTGATGTTGCTCCAGATTTCAAAGGGTTAAAAAGAAGAAGAAGCAGCCAAATGTTGCAATCGCCATATAAATGAATGATAACTAAATAAATGCACAGCCATGTTTGATTTGAGACAGCACTACCCTGTCAAAATTCACACACCATGCAAGTAAGTATGCAGTGGACACAGTGTACTACATGGAAGTGTGCTGATGGAAGTATCCCAATTAAGACACAGCAATGGTGTGTTTCTATTTCACTGTTTACCTGTAGTTTAACAGTCAAACATTTATTGTATTAGATCATTCTTGTCTTAGTCATCCCTGCTGATATCACATCACTCTTCAAAACACTTTAAGTTTTAGATTGACAGTCAAGTTTTTAAAATGTCCTCTTGAGATGTTACTGACATCAGAGGAGAATAAAACATCCCGTCAGAGGACAGTGGTTCTCCATCCTTCAGCAGGGAGGAAGTTTCTGTGCTGAGAAATATCAAAGAAGACAAAGTGGGGTGTTTTAGTGATGGACTGACAGAAGAAGACTAATAGAGACAAACAGCTTGTAGTGAATCAATAGTTGTTTTAAAGGTGATGGATGGACGGGTGGATGGATCCAGAAAGTAGGTGAGTCAACCACAGTTCCTGTTACTAATATTGTGGAACCTGTGACCTTTAATTTTCTCTTGTACTCCCCAGACATCATCGTACTCATCGCCTCGGTTGCCGTGGTTTCAGCCGGTAGCCAGGGTAACATCTTTGCCACCTCTGCGCTGCGTAGCCTCCGTTTCCTGCAGATCCTGCGCATGGTGCGCATGGACCGCAGGGGAGGGACCTGGAAGCTGCTGGGATCTGTAGTGTATGCACATAGCAAGGTAGGGCGGTTTGAAATGTTTGTTTATTTTCTTTTAATCTATTTATTTTAGTTATGTACCTGTAGCACTTTTAAAAAACAGACTGCCAGTTTAGAGACAAATATTTGGGGGTCTCATTTAGGGATGCACCGAAATGAAAATTTGTGGCCGAAGCCGAATAATATAAACGCTTGGCCGAATAGCGAGTACTGAATACCGAATGCCGTTTTTTAGTTTTTGCAGATGAACCCCCTCCAGATTAGTGTTGTCACGGTACCAAAATTGGGACCCACGGTACGAGTAGTATTATGATACCACAGCAAAAATGAGGCAGATGTGCCTTGTGTCATTTATAAAAAGATACATCACTTTTCTATAATACATCAATGATATTTCATTGGAATAAATTACTTATTGACTTATTCATACTTCAAAAACAGCATCAGTAAGTGATTAACATAGGGGGGATCAAAATAAAATAAATAAATGAAATAAAAATCAACCAGCCACCCTCCTCCTCTGACAAGTAAAGAACAGTCCCTTCATAAGTAAAGAACAGTCCCTAAAGTGCGGTGAGGTTTGTGGGCCGTTACCTGCCACAGAGAGAGAAATGTGAACGGCTCGCTTCTCCTCTGATACGTCACATACTGTGTGCCGCCACAGCTTGGCTGTTCAGGTACTTCTGGACAGTCATGACAAGTTATTCACCTGGAGCTGGACTTCTCCGTCACCGGTAAGCCGTTATCATGCACCGCCGTATTTGACAGGAATACGTATTCCTGTCTGTGTCTGTGACCCCTGTTCAACCCACAACTGCCAGGATTCACCTTTAGTTTCAGCTGCTGGTTGAAATCTGTACTCACACAGCGTGCTGAATGATTTATTTTGCTCGCACAAAACTATTTTTAGTCGCAAATGCGAGTGCGGTGACGGACGAGGTAAAATATCGCCACACTGCCGACATTGTACTCTGTCCGTCACCGCACGCTGTTTGATTGCGTTATCAAAAGACGCCGCTATTATTTGGCCTTGCTTTTCACTTATTCCACCGAATGTGTGTTTTTTTTTTTTTTTTTGCAATATTCGGCTGAATAAGTCCAGCTATATGTATATATATATATATATATATATATATATATATGTATATATATATATATATGTATATGTATATATGTATATACCTCTTTCTTTATATACCTCATTTTGATCGTATGCAATGTTTAGAGATGAGACCTCTGGTGATTTAAACTGGTAAAAACCCTGAATAAAGCAGTTTCATGTTACAAATCAGTGTTAGTTTGAGCTGTTTGGTATTTTACTGTAGACACGTGCCTCTAACCTGGCACCTGCTAATGTATGCTCACCTTATTTCTCAGATAGCTTAAGATCCAGATGTTCAGGAGGTTTTTACTTGGAGCCGAATAATCTGCAGTTGTCTCCTCGTCTCCAAAACAATCGAACCTGGCGATTTAAATCAGTAAAAACACTGAATAAAGTAGTTTCATTTGAAAATCAATGTTTTTCTGATGCTGTTTGGCATGTCACGGAGGGTTCCACTAACTACGGTGGCTGACACAAAAACACAAAAATGTGAATGGTCCTATACAAAGCCAGTGTTTGTTTTTCCCCTTCTGGTCTACTGTAGAAACATGGCGGTGCAACATAGCAGACTTCGTAGGCGAGGACCTGCTCTCTATGTAGATAGGAACGACCCATTTTAAGGTAACAAAAACACAATGATTCTTATTTGTGGGTGATTATACACTGCAGAAAACATACCTATTATATTGTATTCCATATGTGCCAATATATCCCCTTAAATCCTACACTGGACCTTTAAGATAAAGAAATAATTTGGTGAGTATATAAGCAAGTGTGGATAGACTTAAATAACTTTTTTTTTGTTAACAGCTTCAACATGGTATTTGATATTATCTCTTAACAATGCTATACTTTAACATTACTATCATTCAACAATACTATATCATTTCAGTCAGTTGTCGTGTTTGTTTCAAGTCCTTGTTGCCACAGGTACATAAGATTCTCTCCCTTTTGTTTGTTCAACATACGAAGGTGTTATTTGCTCTGTGCCTGCTGCATCTGCTGCTTGTATGTTATATCATGTCCATTTGTGTGTTTTCATGATATTGTACTGCAAACTGTTATTATCTATGGTCCAGTGTGTAGGATTATGGGGGACACATTGGCAGAAATGGATTATAATAACAGTTGTGTTTTCATAACCTTAGAATGAGCTGTCAACAGACAAACCAAGCACTGGCTTTAGATAGGACCATTAGTGTGTTCGTGTCGGCCACTGTAGCTCTCCTACGCACTTGGCACATACAGTACGTTTCATGAGCTGCAATGCATCTGCATCCATCCATTTTCATCCACTTTTCCGGGGCTGGGTCGCGTGGGCAGCAGGCTGGGCAAAGCACCCCAGACATCCCTCTTCCCAGCAACGCTTTCCAGCTCCTCCTGGGGGACCCCAAGGCGTTCCCGGGCCAAATGACATATGTAATTCCTCCAGTGTGTTCTGGGTCTGCCCCGGGGCCTCCTACCAGTGAGACATGCCTGAAACACCTCCAGTGGGAGGCGCCCATGAGGCATCCTGATCAGATGCTCAAACCACGTCAACTGACCCATTTCAAGGCGAAGGAGCAGCGGCTCTACTCCGAGCTCCCTCCGGATGTCTGAGCTCCTCACCCTATCTCTAAGGCTGAGTCCAGACACCCCACGGAGGAAACTCATTTTGGCCACTTGTATCCGCAATCTCATTCTGTCATTCACTACCCAGAGCTCATGACCATAGGTGAGGGTTGGGACGTAGATGGACCAGTAAATCGAAAGCTTTGCCTTCAGGCTCAGCTCCCTCTTCACCACAACGGACCTTTGCAGCACCTACATCACTGCAGAAGCTGCACCAAACCGCCAATCCATCTCACGCTCCATTCTACCGTCACTCGTGAACAAGACCCCAAGATATTTGAGCTTCCTCGCTTGAGGTGGTAACTCTCCCCCAACCCAGAGAGGGCAATCCACCGAAGAAAGCTACTCAATGTTTAACTTAGCCCTCACAAGCGCATTGAGTGGGCCGGATTGGACCCTTTAGTGGGCTGGTTCTGGCCCCTGGGCCGTATGTTTGACACCCCTGCACTAAAGCTTTAAATCTTATTGCAAAAAGAGTTTTAAGATCATCCGAGCGAGGAACGGAGGGTGATTTGCAACAATTATATCATAGCAACTAAAAAGAAACTTTATCCCTCAAAGGTGTCAATTCAGTTTGGAGCCAGCGTATCCAAAACATGACATTTATCTCTTAACCTGTGTGAAGTGCTGTATAAAGCTTTATATTTAATGATTTTTGGTGTGTGTGTCTTTTAGGAGCTGGTAACTGCGTGGTACATCGGGTTCCTGGTGCTAATCTTCTCCTCCTTCTTGGTTTATCTGGTGGAGAAAGAATTCAATAAGGAGTTCGCCACCTACGCCGACGCTCTGTGGTGGGGCACGGTGAGCACGCACATATTAATACACACAGATCCACCTCTTAACAGCTTTTAAATGCCCTTTGAATAAAAGTAGTAGTGCTAGTAGTAACTGCTCTGACAGTGTTTGGAGAGCAGAAACAACCATGACTCTTCAAATTGACTGTTTAAATCATAAAATGTGTTTTGAGTAAGTGTTTCCATCCAACTCAGTACAATCACTTCCTTTAATTCCAGGTAGAATCAAAGGCAACATTGGAGTTATGTTGTTTCACTCTGACAACAGTGATATATTTCCATTTACAGTTCCTTTGTGACCTTAATGACACCCGCAACACAAAAACCAACAGGAAGGGCCTTTAGAGTCACACTTGGCTGTCTGTACCGCACTGTTTCCTCCTACATCCAAAACCCATTATACCTTGAAAACACGCACAAACAAGAAGTGGCCCAATCAATAAATTCAATCTTCTGCTGCTGCCAGGTGAGACTGACCCGTTAGGCTTGTGGGACTGACACTCAGACACACTGTGCTCCTATGTTCTGTGGTCCCGGAGCATCTTCTTTGTTGTAGACACTAAAAGCTGTTATATCATTTTGGCGAGAAGGCAAAGTTTAGCCACATACACTTTGAGGATCTATGAGTCAACACAAGAGCTGAGAAAGAGGAAAGTAAGAGCCGTCACCACAGTGGGCACCAGCGACGTAAATGTGCAGTATCCACAGTTTTCTGTGAAGCTGGTTTACATTGGTGCTTCTTTTCTTTTGAAACACAGACTTTAGACATGTGTTTAAATGGTACACAGTGCACCATTCAACACACTCTGCTGTTCTATTCATGATCTCCGAAAGTATCTTAAAGGCACAGTTCACCCTAAAATCCAACATACATTTTTTGTCTCTTACCTGTAGTGCTATTTATCAATCAAAGAGTTGGAGATATCGGCTGTAGAGATGTCTGTCCTCCCTCTAATATAATGGAACTAGATGGCTCTATGGATTGTGGTGCTCAAAGCCAATGTCAACAGCAATGTCTCTTTCCAGAAATCATGACCCAGTTACACAAGATAATCCACCTTGTTGTGAGCAGTTTCATGCAGGAACTATTTTCCTTCTACTGAACTACACCCGCTACCCATTTCACTGCACAGAAGGAAGCATGCGTCTATAGCCCTGTTTCCATCAAACACTTTCAGTATGGTACCTTTGGAACCAAAGTGGTACCTAGACCCTAGGTCCACTTAGCGTTTCCACTGCAAACAGTACTCTTAAATGTGGGCGGGGTTGTTGTCACTCACTGCTCCGTCCAGCACTCACTGTATTTCCTCCTTTATCAGTCTGCACCTGGTTTATCGTCCACAGAACGAGGCTGCATTCTTACATTTTCAGAACAAAATAAAACTGGCTGCAGTGAGAGTCTCTCTCCATGGGATATTTAAAAATAGCAGGTTTGTACATTTAGTCCTTCTCATGCAAGCTCAGGGGTTTAGTGTTGCTGGAGCCCACAGGAACGACGCTCCACAACGCTTTTTCTTTTCTCCAGTGAGTATTGGGATATATGCCGGTAGTCGGCCCACTGAATGAAGTTATTTTTTCTCAGACTCCAGCTGCTGTGAGAGGCAGCAAAACATCCTTTCATTTTATAGTTACAGTTTATTAATAAAACTCTTCACAGTATGAACAGTGGTTACATGAGCCTCAAAACCAGACACAACTCAGCCCTGAGCAGAGTGACCGTCCTCTACTGACCTATCAGACTGCAGTGTTCACAGCTCCACCTTTTAGTACCAGATCTGTGTGCTTGGTACCCCAACAGAGGTGGGACCAAACATGGGGACGGTACAGAATGGTTCGATTGGTAAAGGAGTACTGAACTGACCTGTGCGGTACTTCTCGGTGGAAACAGGGCTTATGGCTAGCTCACCTAGCACCACTGAGCTAGCTAATGTTATAGCTGTGCTGAGGAGAACACCATTGATGTACTGTGATGAGCACGAGCCTTTCATCCATGAGTAGATGCACTCTTCCTTCTGAATGGTGACTCGTTTGGCAGGTGTAGCTCAGTAGAAAGAAAATAGTTCCTACATGAAACGGCTCACGGCAAGGTCTGTGGATTATCTTGAGTAATCGGGTCATGGTTTCTGGAAAGAGACATTGCTGTTGAGTTCTTCAAATGTATTCTTTACCACTTGAGCACCACAAGCCAGCTACAGTAGTTCCATTATACTGGAGAGAATGCAGACATCTCTATGGTCGATATCTCACACTCGGCAACACTTGGCAACTCTACCAAAAAAGAAATCTAGACTGATAAATAGCACTACAGGTAAGAGGCAAAATATGAATTTTTGATTTAGGGATGAACCGTCCTCTTAATGCTGTTGATACTTGGGTTTGAAAAATCAACAAATGTTGCGTTGTAGCATAAAAGCTAATTGATTCATCATGACGATGGCACTTACAAGGTCTCTAAGCTTTTTATCTAGTTGTGTGGTTGACTCATAGTGTTGGGAAGTAATCAAGGTTAATAAACACGTTAGATAATGCATTGTGACTTAATTGGATGTTTTAGTAAAAAATAAGAAACACTAGACTCTGTAATATCAGCTCTCCTCTTTTATTACTTTGCATTTTTCCCCCTTGACCTCTGAAGTCAAGTAATTAGTGGAAAAAAACCAATACAATATATAATACAAATTTGCTAAATGTAGTATGTCCATGGATGTCTGCAAGAAACAGCTTGTGTGTTAGATTTGCTCACAAATCCATTGAAGATTTCATAGAAGAAGAAAATAGCACACCTCTCCGTCACTCTTTTATCACCATTTTGTGCACTGTGTTTCATGTCACCATTTCATTTGACTGTCTGAATGCAGAGCGCCCTATTTCACTGATGCAAAAATTACAGTCATGGACGACTGCAGGCGTCAGTGGTGACACTGAATGATGATTCACAGGAATCAGAAATTGCAGTTTACTGCCCACTATATTGTATTAAATGTATATATGGAGCATTGAAGGAGTGAGGCAAGGACAGATTTCTGACAAAGCCATGGTTACGTGACCACTGACCTCTGATCCTTCAGATCACCCTGACAACTATTGGCTACGGCGACAAGACTCCGCAGACGTGGACAGGACGGTTATTATCAGCCGGTTTTGCTCTGCTGGGGATCTCCTTCTTCGCTCTGCCAGCTGTGAGTCAAATACAAACACACAATACAACACCACTGATTAAATTTATTTCCTCAAAGCTCCAGAAAGCTAATGCTAACAGGAGCAGGGACCATGTTATGTCATTGGGGAAATTTCTACAAGTTTAAAACTCTGTGTGTGTTTGCGTGTGTGTGTGTGTGTGTGTGTGTTCAGGGCATCCTTGGGTCAGGTTTTGCCCTGAAGGTGCAGGAGCAGCATCGACAGAAGCACTTTGAAAAGAGGAGGAACCCAGCTGCGAGCCTCATCCAGGTAGACACACACACACACAGCAAACACATGAGTCTCTGTTGCAGCAGCTGAGGACCAGTGTGAATGCAATACAAAGCATGTTTTTACATGAATGTGTGTGTGTCCTGTCTCATAGCCTCTCACTGTGTCTCTGTGTCTGAATAGAGGCATGAGTGTGTGTGTGTGTGTGTCCACTCTTTAAACTCTGGCTAGAAATATATTGAAGTGTGTGTACGGGTAGTTTCACCATCTCTCATCCTATCAGAGTAAAGGTGTTTCATTAAGAGTGTACTTAATACAAGTGTGTGAGAGTGTGTGTGTGTGTTTTGCCCATCTCTGGGCTGTTAGGGTGTGCAGCCGATGATGACTAAGGGTGTGTGAGGCACGCCACCGTCTCTCAGGTCCAACAGCAACACACACTGCTGGGATTTATGAGCCGTTTCCATGGCGATCAGTCCCTGGGTAGACGCTCCTCCAAGCCGTCAGTCATTGTAATAGACAAGACCAGCTGTATTACTTTCTAATGAACAATAAATATCTGCTGTGGAGTGTGTGTGCGATTGTACGTGTGTGTTTCTCTGTGTTTGCACGTGTGTTTTAGAGTGTTTGTTTCTTTGTGTGTGTGTGTGTGTGTGTGTGTGTGTGTGTGTGTTCTGTCCTCCTCTGTATGAGCTACCTTGACCTACTTTTAGGAGTTTATCCATCAAATAGAGCACCTGCTATGGTGTTATCTTTTGTCCTTCAGGAAAATCCAAATTTGTACAGTCTGAGCCTCATTGTTTTATCTCAGGTCATCATTTCTATCAGTTATGACAAAAAAATATAAAAAATGTTATTGTCAAAAACGCAGGGATATAGTATGTTGTGTAGCAGCTGTCAGACACAGCTTTAGCAAAATATTCTTGGGGCCAGCAACACGAGCAATCAAGTCCAAAACACTGCAATTAACCCAGTTTTCGAAACTGCATATTTGGAAGTTCAACTTTATTTTGTCCCTGGAGGGCAATCTGTTGTACAGCAAGCAAAAACACATAAAAAGGCAAGAGTGGACACACAAGAATGTACGTACATAACAATCGGGGGGGGGATACATGAATTATTAGCAGCAACTGGAATGAACAAGGGTAAGAAAAGGAAAGCATAAATAAACCTGAAAATCTAAACTGTTACCCAAACCGTCTGTTGTTGAGGATTACATCCAAGTCCTAATGAAGGGTGAATGTAGGCTGAATATGGCCTCAGTATCCCATAATGCATTGTGTCAATTGTTTAAGCAAAGACCTATCACATGATGAAAGTCACTACAGAGTGTAAATAATGGAAGTCATCAACTTCACTACTTGTTTGAATACCATAGGTGTGGGCTCGAGTCACATGACTTGGACTTGAATCAGCCTCAAGTCACAAATTTGATGAATTAAGATTCTACTTGACCATATCAAAAAACACTTGCAACTGGGCTTGGACTTACATGACTTCACTCGGACTTGAGCACAGACTCATGACTTCAGTTGGACTTGAGCACTTTTGACTTGAAAATACTTGATATCTTCCCCCAAGCCCATCTGGAAAGAGAAAGTTTTAAACATTTTTCCAATATGAGATGAGTTAAATACTACAAGACAGGACAAACACAAAAACTTCATTCTGTTCTGGTACTGGTTATCAGTGCTACATGCTATAAACATACAGTGTCAATACTACTTCTCCAACAAACTTGTTTTAACACAAAAAGCCAACACATTTTTAGAAGCATTCACAATTTTTGTAAAATCAATATATGTAACCAGTGGACTCCAGTGTTGTCTGCGCTGTGTTTATATAAAGAGGCCCAGACTGTGGATATCTTTGGAGGCGATCTACGTTTATACCTGACAACTCTGACAGCAAGAGGTGAAAACAAAATCCTCCATCAACTACAACAATATACATGTAACTCAAGCCCCTATTCAAATGAAGTGAATGAACAAAACACATTTTGTGTAATTATAATACTTACTAATATAAACGTACATTCGCCTTTGTTACGCATATTACTTCTGTATAATTGATCCTGTTATATATATATTATTAATCTGCTGATAAATTGCCATTCCATTTAGTGAGGAGCACATTTTGACTTGCTAAGGACTCAAAACTCAAAGTTTAGGACTTGGGGTTTGAATTACGACTTGTCAGTCTTGACATGGGACTTGAGTACAAAGATTTGAGACTTATTTGTGACTTGCAAAACAATGACTTGGTCCCACCAATGGTATGTTGTCATTTACGGGATGCTACAGTAAATGGAGATTACAGGGATGTGCGTACAGTTTTACCGTAATTTCCTAGTTATACATCATGTGTTTCAGTGAAGCATCAAACTGACCCTACAGCACTTACCTTAGTAATCATAGACAGTGTAGAAGAAGTGGATGTAGCCACCAGGATGTCACCCATTGGTTTGTGGACTACTGTTTAAAGCCTTGAGTTTTTCATTATGGCCATCGCCATTCTGAAGTTTCGGAGGCAGAAGTGGCCATATTTGGAAGAGAGGGTTGAAATGAGGAGATTACGCATTGTTATGCCTTTATCCTGATCGATTGGTGGCGACTTGGCATTGTCTATTTCACCCTAAACGGGACCATAATTTACAAAATGACCACCATGATGTATTGAAGAGGCGTTAAAACTAACAATTTAGACCATAAACTCAATAGAAAAATGCTTACTAGGGTTATAAATCAAGTGAGCAGTAGGGTCAGTTTCTCATACACTTCAATATAATTGCACTTTTCTTGCAACCAGTGGAGTCGCCCCCTCCTGGCCATTAAATAGAATGCGGGTTTGAGGTGCTTTCTGCATTGACATCACTCTTTAAACCCAGTGGCCACATGCACTTCATTTATACAGTCCATGTCAGTGATGCACATGCAGCATTATAAAACAGTGGTTTATTAAAGAGGACAGTAGTGTACATTTGTTTTTGTTTCACTTCCAAATAAGTGGTGTAGAAGACGTGGGTAAAGTGGGGATTTGTTAAAACCCCTCTGATTGTCTCACTGTGTGTTGCTGCAGATCTCAGTTTGAAATCAGTGAGATATTTTCTTACATATTCATGTGAATAATGAATGAAATCTAAACATGGTTTTCCTTGTTAGAAACACCCATCATTTGCTACGCTTGACAAAGACCAGTTGGAGCCCAGTTGATCCTAAATAACCCACTAAGGGAGCAATTAATCCTGCGTGTGTTGATCTTGTTTCTGTTTTATTGGCTTTGTATCAAGCACCTGGTCACTGTCTGTTGTCTGCCAAGCTTATAACATTTTCCTCAGCAGGTAAAAGGAAACTTGGAAGCGGCTTTGATGTGTTAAATATGTTGATGACATTCTGCCCGTCACTTCACTCCCCCATCTCACGCAGCTCTCTCTGCTTTGAACCACTGTGTGTTGTGTGTGTGTGTCTCTCAGTGTGCAGGGCAGGATATTACCACTGTCTTCAGCCTCGGCAGCCGGTCAATTCAAAATTTCACCTGCTATAAATATTTACCTACCAACTGTATTTTTAGAGCAAAACTGAATCTCCAAATGACTTCAAAGTAGTCTCTGGAGTAGCGTAAGTACCAACAGCTAAAATTGACCAACATTTGGCAAGTGGCCGGTGTTAATTTCCCACCCTGTCTGTGTTAAGTGTTTATATAAAGACTTTCCAGTCGTGTCACAAATCTTGTAACCACACCTGGTGCCACTGGAGAGGTCCAGTTGGCTGCAAGTTAATAATGATTCAAAACAAAAAGGAAACAACCTGTTAAAATAAATGTAGTGGATGTAGGTCATTTCTGAAGAATCGGGTACATTTGTTTCCACATGAGGGTCAACATGACATGCAGCCCGAAATTTATGACCTGCAGACTGTACTCAGTGACAAACGTGTGAACACTTCCGTATATGCAGACACCCATAAACAGAATGGTGTGTGTCCATGTTCTAAATTACATTTACGTAACTTTAGCTGGAGTCAAAACCTCTAACTGCAGTTGCATCTTGACTAATAGCAAAAGTCTGGTGAGCACAACATGTCCGTAGATGTTCTGTTTGCTCAGTCTAACCCATCTGTCACAGCCATGATTTAACTTTCAAACAGGCATGGAACATTAGACTTAACCCAAGTGCCAGAAAAATGTTGATATTGTACGTTTCTGCAAACCACAGATACATTACATTTGCACATTATTATGTAGCGGATTTATTGAAACTTTATGTTTCAGCACTGTGGTTAAAGTACATTTAGGTTTAGGCACAAAACCAACTGGGTTATAGTTGGGTAAAGATCATGTATTCGTTTAAAATTCCGAATTTTAGGGGCACAATTTAGGCAAGACAAGCAGCAATGTCTTAGTAAAAAACAACTGCTTTTCATGCCACTATCCCCGCCAATGGGTTGCTACAAAACACCCACGTTTGGAGCCTATAAAGCTGTTGGAAACATGCTGATGGTTTGCCACGAAACACCAACTTTTGGGACCTAAGACACAGATGAAAACACACAAAGAACTCGGCACGTAACACCCACATTTGTAGCCTATAAGGCCGATCAAAATGCAGCAATGACTTGCTTAAACACAACCGGTTTGCGTCTGTAGGTCACCCACGTTTGGAGCCTAAGAACCCAATGGAAACACACCAATGTACGCTATGAAACACTCACATTTGGAGCCTATAAAGCTGTTGGAAACACGCTGATGGGTAGTCATGAAACACCTACATTTGGGACCTAAGACACAGATGAAAACTCGGTCACATTTGTAGCCTATAAGGCCGATCAAAATGCAGCAATGACTTGCTTAAACACAACCGTCTGTACTTTGGCAGCTGTCTCAACCAGGTGGTGCGTCATCCACCGTCTTTTCCACCTTCTGATGTCAAAGTCAGCTCACAACACTTTAGAATAGAAGTAAGAAATTTCGCAGTTTTAGCCTATTTGGAGTTTGCAAACACGTATAATGCCAACACCTTTTTCTGGTGACTGGGCTGGTGACTGGTTCTGACTGGTGTTAAATGTTACCTAAGGGTGCTTTCAGACCTAGAATTGTCTTGCTTTGGTCCGAATCAGGGACTAATTTTGTTATAAAGTTGCATAATTGTCTAGAGTTGGTTCGAGGCGCGGCTTCAACTAGAAAACAATGTTTTGATGCATTGGTTGTGAATGAACCGCACTTAGGGGGCAAACGAACTTGAGTTCGATTGAACGAAACCAAACGGGGCAGGTGTGAAAGCACCCTGAGATGGATGGAGACTGGACCTCCAATATGGCTGCCAGCTAGTTACATCCTCTGAAACGCTCTGTGTATGCTACATGTTCTTTTTTCCTCACTGTGTTTGAGCCATTGTGTCATCTGTGTCATGTCTATGTGTTTGTGTGTGTGTGTGTGTACGTCTGAATGTGTGTCTTGTCCATCTTTGCTCCCTCCCCACACTCAGGCGGCTTGGCGTCTGTACTCCACCGACGGTGCTCGTCCCTACCTCAGAGCCACCTGGCACCACTACCAAAGCGCCCTTCCCCCCCTCAGGCATGTATCCCCACCACCACCAGCACCACCACCAGCGGCACCACCATCACCGCCTCTCACTTCCCTCCAACAACCCCCAAACACAATGCATCAACACTACCCCAAAAAACTAATCGGCTTTTTCTTTTTTTCCCTCCTCACCTTCCTTTTCTCACTTCCTACCCAATTTATATGTTCCCTCCCTCGCCCCGTTTTTCCTCCCACACTTTATCCTTTTAATTGTTTCATTTATCATTATTTTATTTATCCTGTCAACTCTGCACGTAGTGTGTCTGGCGTAGTTATGCTGCTGATGAGAACTCGGTTTCCATTGCTACCTGGAAGCCTCATTTGAAGGCGTTGCATACCTGCAGCCCCGCCAAGTAGGTAACAACTTACAGACTTACAAACATGGCCGCTGCTGCTCAGCCCCTTCTCCTCATCTCTTCTCCATCATCTCCATCTGCTTCTCTCCATCAGTGTAGCTTTGACTCTTTTTCCACTGTGTGACTCAGCAGATATTCTGTCATCAGTGTACCTGTAGAAACCTTTTTTTCTCCAGTCTGGGATGGTTTGCTTTGTGCGCATGATCTTTAACACCCTGTACACATTCAGACAGTTAAAGGCCTTTCTTAGTGGCACACTGGAAGTTCTATAAATGTTTATTGTTGAAAATGCCACACATGTCAGTAAAGTTCTTACAAACAGATGTGCAGACCAAGGCCAATTCAACAGTAGTGTTTTTTCACTTCACTTTTGGCAGTTTAAGTTTAGTAGTTCAGTAACAATTGTGTTGCCCAACCCATATGTCAGAAAAAAAATGTTGGCATTGTACATTTCTACAAACCCCAGGTACATTGCATCTTTATGTTTGTTAACATGTGGTTAGGTTTAGGCACAAAAACCACTGAGTTATGGTTCAGAAAAGATCATGTTTTGGCCTAAAATATCCACTATCACAAGAGGAAATGCAGCGATTGCTCTGTAGAAAACAACCGCTTTTTGTAGTAGTATCCTTGGTGGAAAAACAGTGACGGGTCAGGAAAAAACACCCATGTATAAAGCCCAAAAAGCTGCAGGAAAAACAACAACAGGTTGTTGAAACACAGTTGTTTTTGTTATTTGTTGGCGCTGAACAGTAGTCTGCAGCTTGGCAGGCACCTCACCAAGGTGTCACGCCATCCACCAACTACTAAACCTCCAGATGATGCGATACGATATGTGATATGTTACAGTATATGATACAATACGATGTGATATGATATGATAGACGAAATGATACGATATGATGTGATATGATATGATAGACAAAATTTTATGATATACGATACAATATACGATACAATACAATGTGATATGATACAATAGGCGATATGATATGATGTGATATGATACAATAGACAAAATTATACGATATACAATACAATATATGATATGATACAATATACAATACAATACGATATGATACGATATGATACAATATACGATATAATATGATGTGATATTATACGATAGACAAAATTATACGATATACAATACAATATACGATACAGTACGATGTGATGTGATATGATACAATAGACGATATGATATGATACGATAGACAAAATTATACAATACAATATACGATATGATACAATATACGATACAATACGATGTGATATGATACAATGATGATATAATACAATATACAATATGATACATTATACGATATGATATGATGTGATATGATACAATAGACGATATGATACATTATACGATATAATATGATGTGATATGATACGGCAGACAAAATTATACAATACAATATATGATATGATATGATACAATATACGATACAATACGATGTGATGTGATATAATACAATGACGATATAATACAATATACAATATGATACATTATACGATATGATACGATGTGATATGATACAATATACGATACAATATACAATATACAATACAATACGATGTGATATGATACAATAGACGATATGATACAATGTACGATATATTATGGTGTGGTACGATTAGATTGATATATTCAATATGATACGATATATAATACAATACAGTGTACTTCTGGTGACTGGGCTGGTGTTACTCTACATTTTTGGAGAGTGAACAATTAGGCAAATTACCATTCCTGCTTTCACACACCACATATACCTTTTTGATATTCGTGTCTATCATTCAGCTAGCACTCAGCCGTACTGTGCATGGCCATAGCTTGCATGTGCTTGTAAATAATTAACCCCATTGAATTAAAGTTTCTTTCTTTTTGTTTCCTTTTTGGCTTGATGCCTCCCATATCCATTAGTGGAAAAATCTGTATCGTGCTATTTTTAATCTGCTGGAATACTGATTTCTTTCCCTTTGTCTCCTCCTTTTTATCCCACTAACCCTTGAAGGAAAGAGCAGGGCGAGACTACTTACAGGTTTGTATGACTCTCAGCTCACTCCTCCAAAGACACAAACACAAACACTCAACATGTGATGTAATAATAATTCAATAATATGCCTAATGTGTTTTTCATTGCTGTGATATCTGCTGTAATCTGGTTTGTGGGCTTGTTTCGTCTATTTTTTTGGTTCATTCATCAGATTTCCAGATTGGGTCCCTCAGGTCTCTTCGCCAATAAATGATGAACTGATTGCTTAGTGACATTTACCCGGTAATAGTGAATGGTTAGTGGATTAATTGAAGATTGTGTCCGCCATCAAAGGGTTGTGACATAGTGATTTGGTGCTTGGTTTATTGATTTATTGATTGAGTGAATGACTGAACCCTTATTTTGCCCTTTAGAACAAATTCACCCTGACTGGAGAAAATCCAGGCAGTTATTTTGACTTATGCTGATGTTGTTGTAGTTTTTAACCAGTATGACCTGGACCTGCAGTACTATGGTATAGAATATAAAGGGACTAGCATATGCATAGTGGAAAGTTAAGACATAGTTTGTACCTTTTAAAGTGGGGTTGTATAAGGTACTTATCCATAGTCAGTGTATTACATACAGTAGATGTCTGTTGGCAGGCCCCCAGTTTGGAGAAGCAGACAGGAGTACAGACACAGACGCTCAGCAATGAACTGCTGTGGACTTAGGCAGCAGCAAAACATATTTTAACCACCTAAAAAATTCAACATTGCTTTAACTGTATGATATATTTAGAATATAGTGATGGGGATTGTGATTCCAGAGGATCTTAAGGATCTATGTAAAATAAATTATAATAATAAAATGGTTAAGATGGACAAAATTTTATAACCATGGGGAGAGAAAACTCTAACACTTTTTGGAAAGATTTCTCAGGTAAATTCTCTTGTCGTGTCACAATTAAGTTATCTTTTTATGTCACTTCATATTTTGAATATTTTTAATGCTTTACCATCAGCCAGAGATTTCTGATTCTGAAATGAAGCTGTTATATCCTCCTGAGACCCTGTGTCCTCATACGTGGACATCACATTTTGGGTTTACTTGACCTTATACTTCATTCTACTTAAAGGGAAATTTCAGTTTATTTCAACCTGTCTCCTATCGTCCTAAATTTGTTTCAAGTGACTAGTGACATAAAAATAATAGTTAGCATGTTAGCCGTTAGCCTAGCACATAGTAGCATCAGACCTGTTAAAATGTAAGTGAACGGGCTACCTTCAAGTGCAAAGTTAGTCCACTAAGACTGCCTCATATCGTTAGTATAAATGTCAGAGAACATATAGAAAACGATATGTAAACGTGTTGTCTTACCTTACCGGCGTGGTGCCATGTTTGTTTACCATCTAGCTCTGCTTTCCAAAGTGTGGCCGAAATATATCTCGCGAGCTCTAGATAAAGCCCAGCTGGATACTACTCCAGGTGGAGGTGTCTCGTCCTCGGTCACATCCAGACCTTGAAAATAAGGCTGCAACCGGTCCCATTCTTTGCAACAGAGGCATTCCTCTTCTGTGGGCACTGGGGCACAGCATTCACAGGTACACCACCAATCTCCAGAGCTATGCAGCCTTGCAGCAGCCATTCCTCCTCTCTCGTCCTCTAACGTTACCTGTTGCGCCTCTCTCTCTCTCTCTCCTCCTCCGTTCTTCAATTTCACAAAGCTCTTCGTCAGTGTATTCTGGCTCAAATAAATAAGGGCGGCCATCAAACTCTGCAAAATCAAATTCCTCCTCCACAAAGTCGAAGTCTGGCAAAAAGTCAGCCATTATTCTATAAATCTTTCATAAAATAAATGAATGAACTTTTCAGGCTACTGTCCGGTTCTGCCTTCCAGCTGTTGCTGCTTGATCTCGCGATATTTCGGCTGCGCTTTGGAAAGCAGAGCAAGATGGTAAACAAACATGGCACCACACCGGTAAGGTAAGACAACACGTTTACATGTCGTTTTCTATATGTTCTCTGACATTTATCCTAACGATATGAGGCGGTCTTTGTGGATAAAAAGCTTGTTTAGTGGACTAACTTTGCACTTGAAGGGATGCCCGTTCACTTACGTTTTAACAGGTCTGACACTACGGCTGTATCTAGGCTAACGGCTAACATGCTAACTATTATTTTTATGTCACTAGTCACTTGAAACAAATTTAGGACGATAGGAGACGGGTTGAAATAAACCGAAATTTCCGTTTAACTCAGACCTATTGTCCTCGTTTGTGGACACTTTTTGTGCCATCTAGTGGTAGTAAGAGCACAATACACTAACCCATGTAAAAACAAGATGGCAGCCATTTCTGCCAAGTCAGTCCCGACACATCTCACATTTAATGGTTGCATCTTGTTAATTTATGATTTGTAATGTTTGACCAATTTTAGCAACAGTAACTCGTTTTAGGACACTGGGACTTAATTGTTGTCTCATTTGAGGACATTTGGACTTAAATATCGTTGACAATGTTGAGTTTTTAATACTTATTGGGTCGTACTGATCCCAAATAGCTAGGAGAAATTAAAAATGCATTACAAACAAAAGTTCGAGTTTCAGGAGGATATCTGTCTCTTCAAAGCCAGACTCCACTGAGAAAACACTAATTTAACATCACTGAACACAGGAGCTGCTGGTCTACTGCTGCCTCGATCAGTCACATTGTTTGTGTTATTTTGTGTGTTATTGTTGTGTTTAAAAAAGGTTAGTTGGATTCATTGAAGTCACACAATAACGCACAAACTAACCAATCGAGGCAAAGAGGGGGTCAGCAACTCTTGTGTTCAGCGAGGTAAAATTACTCTTTTTGTCAATGGAGTCTGGTGAGAGAATAGATGGGGAACTGAAGCTGTAAACAGCCTGTCCAATTAAATGGTAAAGCAATCAAATTTAAATTGATGTTTTTTTAGGTGGCTAAAATGCATTTTGCTGCTGCCCCCTGTCTGCAGCAGTACATTGCTTATAGCTTCTGTGACAGGACTCCTGCCTGCTTCCCCAAACTGGAGGCACGCCAACTGACATCTCCTGCATGTAACACACACTGCCTATTGATTATTGGCCCGTACAACTCCACTTAAAAGAATCCGAACTACCCCTTTTAAGCAAAAACAAGTTGACGTGTTCTGATAAAACAAATCCAGAAGTGTCAGATCAACATTTATTAACCATTTGAGTGACACAGTATCTACACTCTTTCAGGCGCTCTCTGGAAACATAGTTATTGATTTGTGTTGAATTGAAAAACAGAAAGCCCAGGAAGAGATGCAGTGATAGAGACACATGTTTTTACATCAGACACAGGTAGACTGAAGCTACACAGCAAATACAGTACCATAAGAGTTACAGTAGCTCATGCGAAGGTACAATTGCCTCCTTTCCTCTGCTTTCTTTGTTTTATAGTCCTATCTCACTTTTCCAACTGTTTCTATACATCTCCATCGCTGTCCTTATCTCTGCTCCTCATTTCACTACTGTTTCGCTCTCTGCACTTGACTCTCAGGCAGGGAACGTGATGGGCTCCTCTGGCTTTGTTGAGTGTACGAGTGTGTGTGCGCACACGCCTTCAAAGACAGGAGTCTGTACCATGTCTGTACCATGACGCACTTTTTCCATTGGGATGGTATTTATATAACTCATCAAACACAGTCTAGGAGAGACAGAGCGAAGTCGAAAAAAAGGGGGGGAGGAGGAGAGGAGGGGGGAGATAGGGGATTTCAGAGAGGGGAAAAAGACAGAGAGAGATTTGTGAGTTTAATTATGCTAGTATAGTTTTTACAGTGCAGCGCTTCTTTGGCAACATTTGGGAGCCTTATATTGAGCCAGCAGCTTCTTAGGCATTTAAACTGAAGACAGCGCCACACACACACACACACACACACACATACATATAAAGAAAATGAGTTTATACTCTCAGTCAAACACACAAACAAATGTGCTTCTCATCCTCAAACACAACAACATTTAATTAGGCTTTGTTGCATCCATAGCAACATTCATCCCCCAGAAATCCCTCGGTTTAAAGGGCTGCGTTTAATTACGCTTTCCTTTCTTGGAAACTTTTGTTACAATGAGCCCAATTTGCACTTGTGAAATCATAATTATGAACCCTTTTATGACGCTATTTCTTTTCTGTAACGTCTCCTCCGCGGAGAGAACACACAGCACTGTGTTATTAGTGGTTTTACAGACTGTCGGCTGCTCGGCGGCGGTAGGTGCCGTGGTAAACGGCTGGTGGTTTTCGTTTAAGCAGACTTGTAAACACCAGCAGTAGTAAACATTCGGCGCACCACAAAGTGCTAGCAGTGGACATCATGCTGAGCACATGAGTGCTGGGTATTGGCAGAGAGAGGCAACATGAAATAAAGGCTAATGGGGCTTTAATCTGGAGTTTATGTGTGTAGGCAGGTGTGTTTGTGCATGTGTGCCTCCTCGTACGGTCCATTCAAGTGATTCAGACTTTTTCTTTAAAGTGTATCTCTGACTATTTTCAACCTGGACATGATTTCTCATCATGTGTGTTCAAACCTGCTTTTCTCGCCCCCCTTATGGGAAAATAAAAAAAAGGTTTATTCCAGACTATGCTGCACTTGTGTGTGTTTGTAAAAGAGCTGTTTAGAAGACAGCACTGTTCAAATAACAGCATTCACACCAAACTAAGCAAACCAGACACTCTGGCAAAAGCACCGAACTTCTTTGAAACAACAAATTGAATGTGAGCGCAGCCTGATTTTTAGAGGCTATTTTAACACAACACTGCTGGCACACAGGCAGCCGTCACAGAACAATCATTGTGTTGACTTTGAAGGTGATTTCGAGAGCCAAACCCAGGAAAGTCGATGTGAGGAGTTTCTCACTGAAGCATCTGGTGAGAGTTTGGTCGGATTGGTCGAGAAAAACAGAGTCCAGGTTGTTAATGTTGAGAGTTGTGCTTTAAAACCAGCTCTAGCTTTCACTACTATGATGTGTGCCATGAAATCACATCAAAATGAGGGACCTCAGGTGGGTTTGCCTTCCTCTGCCTCTCTGTTTACCCACTCCCATCCTTTCCTGGTGTATGTCCTCTGCCCTCTCTCTGTGTATTTGCTTTACATTGATATTGACAGCAGAGAATTTCTCTTCTTCTTCCTCTTCTAATCTCCTTCCTCCTTTATCTGTCCATTCCCTCCTCCATCTCCCTCCTTCGCTCTAGTAAGGGTCTAAGTAATGGGAGGCTCTTCAGAAGGTACACTCGGAAGTATAGGAGGTACCTGCAGTACTACCCAGCATCCTCTCTGTCCTGCCCTTAGCTCAGTAACCTGTGGGAATGACTGACTAATAGCATGGAGGTGAAACTTACATCTTAGCTCCCTCCTCGATCCCTTTTATCCAACGAAGGACTGAGGCGACCAATGCTGCCTGCTGCCTGTCGAATGCAAACAAGTCTTTGTTACCATGTGTCAAATTAAAGGGGAATTCCACCCAAACTAATCTTTACACTGCAAGAGTAGACAGGGTTTTAAATGTAAGGTGTAAGTTTTTGACATAAAGGAAAAGTGCACCAGATTTTACTGCCTAACAAACTGCATGTAGAGCTCTTAACACCCTGAAAACTCTGCATCATGGGATGTTGCTTGCCATGATTCTTCATAATTTCTAATTTAAAATCCCTATGCAAAAGAAAATGTGAGTCAGTTTTCTCAATAAGGTAAAACTCAGAGTAATAAGTTGAACAAAACAATTCCCCTTTACTTTATATATTTTTTAAAACTGCTCAGAGTCCAGCCACATGAATATCTTTTGATTAACTCATATTCTTTAATTTTTAAATGTTACAGTCCCATTAGTTGAAAAGATAAAATGGTTTTGTGACAATGTAACAAAAAGGAATGGAAATAAAATGAGTAATTCATGGGGCTGGACCCAGTTCACCTTAATGTTCAACTGAAACCACATATCCGCTCTGTAAATCACTCGTCCGGTGCTGAAACCAGTTTTACATAGTTTATTTTCAAAGGACTACCATTCCTGTATCCGTCTGGAGATCTTATTTCGATACAGCCAATAAAATCTTACGTGACGCAGTAATATCAGCGTTCTGTCACAGGCAGAGCAGACGTCACACTGAACCCGAGAGCAGTCTGCTACACAACACAAGTACAACAACCCACATTAGCTTTCCTGCTGAAGTCTCATTTGTATCTAACACAGAAACATGCATCTTATCCAGCACAGTAGTTTGCTGAAAAAACAACCAAGCAAACATTCACCGGGGAAAAGTGTGCTAATTGCTTGCCTAGTTTTTAGGCGAGATAGCTAATAAACTGCTCAGCTGCAGCACTTTATCCCCCTGACACCCTGTGTCCTCGTATGAGGACATTGCATTTTGGTTTTACTTGACTTTATACTTCATTCTGCTTAGCTTAGACCTGTTGTCCTTGTGCGTGGACACTCCTTTGTGCCATCTGGTGGTAGTAAGAGCACAATACACTAATCCATGTAGAAACAAGATGGCAGCCATCTCTGCCAAGTCAGTCTGCAGCCAATCTGGAAATCCATCAGTTCAAAAAACAAAAACAAAATTTTTTTTTTTTTCTTCCTTTACCTCTGGAGGCACTGCCTGTAGTTTTTCGACTAATGGAAGTGCAGGGGCCTCGGGGATCGCTCAACCCCTTCACTTCTGGGGGTGCCCCCAGGGAATCGCGTCGTTGTTTACAAATACTTCCAGGTAGAAAACCAGCAGAGTTTTGATGTGTGTATATATATATATATATATATATATCACATTTTTCATCTCACTATATCACCATTTAGACTAATCTGATGTTTGTAAAGTCTATAAACACAATGATTGAACAAACATTACTATTTCTGTGTGCACGTTTTGTAATTAATAACATGGTTATCGTAGATTAGCTGGGCTAACCGTTAGCTGTTAGCCCCATTAGCAGTGTCTGTAGCAACTCAGTAACTTAATAAACGGTCTCATCTCGTCTCGTCGTCCTCCGCTTATCCGGGTCCGGGTCGTGGGGGCAGCAGCCTCAGCAAAGAAGCCCAGACAGTCCTCTCCCCAGCCACCTCCGTCAGCTCTTCCGAGGGAACCCCGAGGCGCTCCCAGGCCAGCCGGGCGATGTAATCCCTCCAGCGTGTCCTGGGTCGGCCCCGAGGTCTCCTCCCAGTTGGACATGCCCGGAATACCTCCCAATAAACGGTCCGTGAATAAAATATTTTTGCCAGCGGATATCTTAGTTACAACATGATTGAGCTAGCAAAGCAGTTTTGTGTTGCTATGTGTGGTATTTATTCAGTTTTGGGAAATCACGATGTCTAGAAAGCATCAGTGGCTGCAGCTGACAGGGACAGCTAACAGCAGCAAAGCTAACATCAGGACGTCATCTGTTAAAAGTCTCCCGTTGTCAGATACGACATGAAATTGCTCCGGTTAGCTCAATCATGTTGTAACTAAGACATCCACTGGGAAAACTATTTTTTTCACGTTGACGAGACGGCGTTTTGGGTGGAGCGGTTGCCATGGACGCGGAGCTTGCTGTTTCTGTAGGTACACATTTCCTGGGGACACCTGCAAGTCTCGGCCATGCCCCCTCCATTGTGATTGGCTAAATGCAGCATTGTTCAAACTCAAAGCCTCACCCCCCTCTGTAGTCGTCTTTCGCACAGGGCCGCCGACAGATTCTACAATGTAAATTGCCGAATCTGTCTTGAGAGATTAGTCTGCAGCTGATCCAGACACAAAAGAGGACAAGGTCCGAAACCTGATCACATTTAATGATTGAAACTTCTTTTTTTATGATTAATAATGTTTGTAGTTTGATATGGCAACAAAGTTGACCAAGTTTAGCAACAGTGAAGAGCTAAGACACTGTTAATTAGGAAGTACTCGTTGTTGACAATGTTTCTTTTTTTTAATACTTATCACATCCTACTGATCCTAAATAGCTAGAAGAAATTAAAAATGCAAACCAAACAAAAATTGGGGTCTCAGGAGGTCAAACAGCACCAGGGCAGTACTCCAGTTTTGCTGCTTGCAGCTTTTTCGAGAACCTCTCATCCAAACAATGGCACACTCGACACTGTGCTTCCTATGGCCCTCAGCAGTACACATGCCATGACATAGTTATAGTTGTATCCCCCAGCAATGCTAGAGCATGTGCGTCATTTAGGTGCAAAAGCTCACGTAAGAATCACTTATGCACATATTTATATTTGGTAAAGACGTCTATGTTGAGGACGTATCATATAGGTTCTGATTATATTTATGTTTACAGTTTCTGTGTATTTTGAGTACTGTATATAAGTGGACTATACTAAGGCTATGTTTAGATTGACTTTATTTCTGCGTTAGATTACAGGCATAAGTTATTTACGCGAGGTATGCTGCAACAAGGCAGTGGGCATGACAGAAGGAGATTGTGCGTGAAGATGCCATGAAGTCTGTGCTGGTTTGGATTGTAATACGTTTTTGACCGTGTTATGCAGTGTTTAAGTGTATAATAAGGAAGAAGACACGAGTCAAAACGGAGACACCTCACAGACTAGGTGGCCTAGGAACTTTAGTATGTTGTCACAGCCACTACAGCTCCCACGAACATTTTGTGGCCTTCAGAAGAGTCAAAGCCCGGCTATTTTGGAGAACAAAAACATTCATTGCGAAAGCTACATTGCTGATGCTTAAAATTTTGAATATGTCTCTGGTCTCCCTGGTCTTTATTTCTTCATCTGCTCTTGAATATACAGTAGTGAGTGATGGAGAGCACTGTACTTGTGGTGGTATTAACACTCCACTTATAAATATGTCCTGTAGATCTCAAGAACTGGCACTCAACACTACACTTCCTTTAGTCCACAGCAATGCAGCCACAGAGTATGAATTCAATTGGATGTTGAGAAACTCGAAGGACACACACGCCTTCATTTTTATTTAGATATTAATGTACCTGCAAATATCACGTCCATCCCGTTAGATGCTGTTGTGGTCAACAACACGCCGCCTGACCACTGTCATCTCTCGTTCCCTGCCTGAGCCTAGCCTGCAACGTCTGTCAATCAAACAGACACCAACACGCCCCTCCAGCCAACTGAGACTAAAAGGATCATTTCTGATATTTCCTCAAAGACCTTTTATTCCTCCTTTTGATATTAAAGACAGATTAATAATTCATTTAAAAACATGTGTTTTGACGACAAAAAGGGATAACTAAATGTGATTTCAGTTGGACCTTAAATATGCCCCTTAAATATGTGATAATTGTGCACATTTCAGTGTACGGCTATAGGTATTGCAGCTTTTCCTTATTTTACTGCATGCCTCCTGCATCACTGCTGCACTTCTCTTTACAGTCATGTCAGCCCTCAGAGATAAAAAGAATAGTGATAGATAAAGATCTGTTCTGCTCTCCACTGTTTCTAATACTTATTTCTGCCTTGAACATTGGTGAATATTGTCATGTGCTGTGAAGTGTTGGATAAGGTTCCCACACAAGTCTGGGAAAGTGAGGAAAAAAATGCACAGGCCCAGGTTTGGGAAATTATGGTGAATCAACTTCCCAAAGTCTTTAGAAGTTTTCTGAATGTGCAAGCTATAAACAACTTCTGTTAAAGAGATTAAAGCGGATTAAAACACTGAAATTCAGGTGAGACACTGAGGTTTGGAAACTGTGAAACTGTGGCATGGAAAATGTGTTGGAACCCTGCATCTCTCTCTGCTGCATCGCATGCTTGTATATTTGCCTTAGCAACATTATAGTTTACTGCAGTGAGTCCCATTAATTTAGCACTTTCTGCATCCCCACCAGCCCCTGCAAGGTTACTACAAAGATCAACATCATAAATGCATTTTATTCTCCAGTGGCTGATGGTATTTTAATTGTTTAAACTGGGAAAAAGAAGTGATAGAGGAATACAAAGTGGTAAAAATAAGAGTAATGGTATGGTCTTAATAATAATATAATAGTATTCCAAAGATATATTTTAAAGTTATTTTATGTAGCATATTTAACCGTCACACTATGGTGTAACTGCAGTGAACAACTGAGACCTTAAAAGAGTTTGTGTTTTGCATTTTTAAACCACATTACTGTTGCATCCCATTGGATCTTTAAAAGGGTACGTTGCCATTTTTCAGCTAGCTCTGTATCAAAACAATGTGGATAGCATGTGTAAATGAACTGTGGTAAACTTCCCTCCGTCCAACCAATGCCAAGATTTCCCTCCTCGCCCCAATGAAATTCCGCCATACGAGTTTCAAATTACAGGCTATACTTCCGCGTTTTTGCACATATTGCTCCAGGGATGACGTTTTTTTGTAGGCCGACGCGGAAGTTAGCATTGCTCTGGTTCCCTCGTCAAAAACCCTATGGGATTTTTCACAGTTTTAGGACTCAGTCCTGGGCTGCTCTATTGCCCGCCACCCATGGTGCCACCGCCAACACAATGAGTATAGAAGCAGATCAAGACAGAAATCCGTCTGTATCTGAGGGTGCTTTCAGACCTAGAGTTGTCTCCTTTGGTCTGAATCAGAGACTAATTTTGTTACAAAGTTGTATAATTGCCTAGAGTTGGTTCGTGTTCTCACGGCAGCATTTACAAGCGGACCAGCTCAAATGCCTTGTGTGAGAAAGCTGCTCTTGATTGGTCAGAATTTCCATGCGGGAAAAATCCAGGAAGTAAAGCAAACGTTGAAGAAGAGTACACTTGCAAGATAAATGTGACACTTTCTAATGTCACAATGGAGGGACAACTACGCAGGTTGATTTTAGCGCTGCTCATCGTGGACTATATTGCTGTCATTGTTCATTTTAGTCAAACCATACAGTTTGAAAACGAGGCGCGGCTCCAACTAGAAAACAATGTTTTGATGCATTGGATGTGCTGAATGTGCATATTAAGGCAGTACAGGAGGAGGTGCACATTAATAATCCTCCAGGACTGTAACATGCTCATGTTTAACCCAAACAATGTGTCATGTGACTTCAGTTGGTTCAGATCCAGGTCGGAACACGTTCTCACCACAAACGAACCGCACCAGAGTTCGTTTGTAACCGGACTGAGACCACCTCTTCAAGAAGGTCTCAGTCTGGTTGTTTTGCTGCGCACCTGAGTGTGATTGCTGTGTTGACACCTGCTCAAACAAACCGCACTGAGGGGGCAAACGAACTTGAGTTTGATTGAACCAAACCAAACAGGGCAGGTGTGAAAGTCCTCTCAAACTCAGATCGGAATCCAATCAAATGGTAAATCTAGGCAGTGCTGATTGAATATATATCGAAATGATGTTACTATATCGGCTATTTCTCGCCTCATGTTTTCAGAAACATGTTTCAGCTCACTGTTTAACTGTAATGCAAGATCATTTCTTGCCAACCGGCCACTATTGTTTCAAACAGACATGTTCGCATTACATCATTCAACAACAGGAGCATTTATCGGCATTCTGGTAGTTGTAGGTTTTCTCCTTCGTGAGCAAAAGTGTCCTTTTTCCTCTGATTCTGTGGCACCAGTTTCAAAAATATTTGCGTGGTTTTACCGCATCTTATTAAAAGGCCATGTTTCCAGCAGTGAAGTACTTATTCAATTATTTGGATTTACCACTAAACATTGATTCACGTGCTGCCGTCAAAATCTCTGAAAAATGAAGAACGTTTCCCAAAAATAATCTTAGGAAAAACACCATGTGGAGGCTGTTTGAAGCATCTTTCAATACTGGTCTCATTTGTTTAAGGCAGTCTCAAAGTTCATATAGTGATGATGTTACCATGCTTCACATATCGCCTGTAAGAATCTCATTAACTCTGTTTTAAAAATCAGAACATGAATAGATTATGAGATGATTGGGTGAGGACTGCAGCACTTCAGGATCCAGTACTGAGGGATTTTTATTTGGTTGCTTGGTGGGCAATCTGGCTGTGTTCTAGTGTTTTGGGCATGTCAGTTGGGAAAGACAGAACGCTGCCCTGTGTCTGTGCTCTGAACTCTTCTCACCCTCTGAGGGGAAATAGGTGCTGACAGCATCTCCTTTTTTTCTTCCTCTCCCTGTGTCTCTCTATCAACCCCCGACCTCTGCCACACACTCTTTCTTTATCAACTTCATCATGAACTCTCCCCATCATCCCCATCCATCTGCCTCTGAATACTCACCTCCATCATGCTCCCTCTGTCTCCCCCATCCCAAATCTTTCTCTTTGCTTCTGTGAATGTTTTTCTCCCCTCTCTCTTTCCACATCCGTCTATCCTCTTCTTTCCTGCTCGGTTCTTCCCTCCCTCCCTGCAGTCAGAAGTTGAGTTTTAAGGATCGGGTCCGGATGGCGAGCCCCCGTGGTCAGAGCATGAAGAGCAGGCAGACGTCCATCAACGACCGCCAACGCTCTTCCCCTGGCAACGAGGTGGTAGGAGGCCCCGAGCTGATGGGAGGGAGCCCGGCCAAAGTGCAGAAGAGCTGGAGCTTCAACGATCGGACACGGTTCAGGCCGTCACTGAGGCTGAAGAGCCAGACTCGCACTGCTGTCCCAGATGGTGAGTGGGACTGTGTGTGTGTGTGTGTGTGTGTGTGTGTGTAACTGTAAATAGCAACCAAACATCCAAAACCACGTCTTACAAATCACTCTTTTTCGCACAGTGCTCCATTTTATGCAGTAAATGTCAGAGGTGGGAACAAGTCACTGTTTAGCAAGTCACATGTAAGTCTCAAGTCTTTGCACTCAAGTCCCAAGTCAAGCTCCATGTCCTGTACTTCTGAACTTTAAGTTTCAAGTCCTCAACAAGTCATAAAATAAAGTGCAATGCCCTTTTAAGTACAGAGTAATCATATTATTTTTAAAAATCTTAAATGCTTTTTAAAATTTGTTTTATTCTTTAAGTCTGTTGGAAGATGTGTCTCTGTAATTTTCGACCCACACGTTTTGCATACTGCTGTTTGTTTTATGTTGACCACCCATAGTTTTTTTAAATTAAGTATCTGTGGTATGATTTTTTCCAAATGGTGCTCAGAAACACGACGTCAGTTCTTAATGGTTCCCCTCCTACAATTTGATTGGATGCTGTTGGATATGTTCGAACAAAATGGATCCAGAGACTTAAAGGACAACTTCGGTATTTTTCAACCTGGGCCCGTAAAAGACTCCGTCCTCTGACTCTTCTAGCATAACACACACTTCACACACACATACTCATTTACAATACAGAGCGGGGACAACTTCCGCCTTTCTGCTCCAACACTGACTGACAGCTGACTCCACTCATTCACACTCACCACTGCCCCAGGGCCGCTACCATATGCTATTTACAGAGATTGAGAGAGAGAGCAGTGGCGATCTGAACCGGTCAGTGGTGAAAAAAAGCACTTTTATATGGGACGCATTTGCCCCCATTACCGTTTTAGCTCATTTCGCGGCTCAATACTGAACCAATTTTAGAACGAGTCGTACCCATGAATTATACGCACACATACACAAAAATGTGGAAAAATACCGAAGTTACCGAAATACCGAAGTTGTCCTTTAAGCACTGACCTGCTTGGCATGACTAGCGTTAATTTTAGTTGATTCAGAAAATGAATTGACTTGTGGGACAGTTAAATAACATACTTTTTAATCTGTGGACTTGGAGCGAGGTATCAAGTATTTTGAGGTCAAAAGGTTCAAGTCCAAGTGAAGCAGCAAGACATTGGTGTTAAAGGCACGCTAAGCACCGTTGGGCGTTTCTTCTGTTTATGTTCAACAATGTTATCAAACACAGCGGAGCTAGCTCGCCCCTCCCCCCTAGTCTTCCGTGACTCTGCCATGAACGAGCGGTAGCTGCTGGATTTACACACCTGTTCAAGGGATAGTGCACCCAACATGCAAATTCAGCCTTTATGTACTCACCCTCATGCCGAGGGAGGCTCAGGTGAAGTTTTAGAGTCCTCACAACACTTGTGGAGATCCAAGGGGAGAGGGGGTAGCAACACAACTCCACCTAATGGAGGCTTACAGCGCCCCAGATTCAAACGTCCAAAAAACACATAATTGAAACCACAAAATATCTCCATACTGCTCGTCCATAGTGATCCAAGTGTCCTGAAGCCCCGACATAAAAAGTTGTTTGGAAAAACGTCATTTGAACTGTTTTTAGCCTCATTGTAGCCTGTAGCTCTAACTGCCTCTCTGGGCACTGCGCTCACGTGTGCACCCTTGCGCGAGACCGTGATACATGGGCACCGCGTTCATGTGTGTTCACGTGCATTCGCTAGGCTTGCGCTGGCTGGTTGGTGCAGCCTGGACCCAAATGTTTTTGTTGCCATTTGCGGAGCCTGGGCTGCCTAGCTAGCGGATCGTGAGGAGATGTTTGCTGTGTGTGACAAAAACTTTTCAAGCTTAGGAAGACTTAGAGAGCCTTTAAAGTTCATGTGGAGTTGCAAGTCTTTTTTTTTATTTTGTCAAATTGAGTCCAAAGCCATCAATTTTCATTTGATGCAGTAATGTGTCCAGTGGAAGTCCCAGTTATGTTTTTTATCCAGGTGGGTATTTTACATCTTGAGGAACATCTTAACAGAGTTTAATTATATGCTTTCATGTGTACTTTAAATGTCAAGTCCTGTTTTATGAATGAATTTATTACGACATAAATTAGTGTACATGTATACTGTACTGTACTGTATTTTGTGCAGCAGCGTTTTCACTCAGAAGCTCCTACCCTACAGTAATAGAAAAAATGCTGACTGTTTTAATAGCACCTCTGTGTCTCCTCTTATTCCCCCGTATCATTTATATGAACTGACTTTATAACCTCTTATGTGCCCTTCATCATCATTCACTCTCTTTTCATTTTCCCCCCATTCTTTCTCTTGCTCCTTCTCCTCTTCTCCATGTCCGTGCCTCTGTCTGTGTCTTCTACTCTCCTAATTATTGGCAGTATAAGGGATATATATACCCTCTCCTCTCACCTTACATAGCTGAGCTGGCAAAACGCTGCCCATTCCTAAAGATCCCATCCAAGCAGGGCATAAATTCTCACCACCTAAAAGCCAAAATAGTATCAGTTTGAAACATTCTTGGAGACTCCTGTCCAGACTATGCAGAAAATGTTTTATGAGTTTAAAGACTGGAAATGATTTTGCATGGGGCTTCATTTATTGATGAAAGGGCGGTGTGTCTCTCTCAGTGGACACAGGCATGACCACGGAGGATTCCTTTGATGAGAGAGGCTGCCATTGTGATGTTACAGTGGAGGATCTATCAGCTCCCCTCAAGGCTGTCATCAGAGCTGTCAGGTGAGATCCTGCTTCAGTTACATTTCATGTTTCATCCAAAGCATCTTTGAACCACCAAAATCCTACAAATGTTTGAGGAAGGGAAAAGAAACCAACAACCAGGTTTGCAAACTTGCATCCAAATACTAATAACAAGTAGGGTGTTTACTGGTGTTTATTGTGTCATAGAGCAAAATGTGAAAGTCTCTTGTGTTAACCACAGACCTTATTTTAGGAATCAAACCCAAACAACTGACCCCGAGACGAAGGAACTGAACGTGCAAAAAGGCTAACTCACTTCTGGGTTTCAGGACTCTTTGTTTAACATAATCAGGGAAACAGCTACCAGACTATATCTTGATCAGGGGCAGTGACTTGTCTCCGCTGGGTGCCTGGCAAGTTTCCAGGAAGTTACAGCGCCTGGCTAAGAAATGGTCAACATAACCCTAACTCTGACCTGTAAAACCACAAACTGTTGTTTTAAGAGGCAGACAACATGATGACCTGACCTGTGTATTTTGTTATCTTTAGACTTCACTTCCAGTCTTTATGCTAAACTAAGCCACCCAGCTGCAGACTAGTGTTGCACAGTATACCGGTACTAAAATAGTACCGTGGTACTAGAGTATTCCAAACGGTACTATAATGCATTTGGAAAATACCGGTACTTTGAAATTGATTCACTTCATTAATTCAGTTAATTTATTTTACTCATTTATGCACACAAACGCCTTTCTTGTTCCTAATGGAGCACAGATTGCACAAGTGGTGTGTATGACAACACCTGTATCAACATCCGCAGCTGGCGCACGTGAAAAAAGACAAGAGAAAGTCTGCCTTGCAAAGGGACACAACACGGGACAACACCAACTTGGTGAAACATTTGAGGAACTTTCAAACCATGATTTTTTTGGTACCGTTACACCCCTACTATTTATTGTTCTAAAGGTTTGTAGCCAAAAGGACTTTTCCTTAGGAAAAGTACCGAAGAGTATCGAAATTCATATTGGTACCGAAACAAAGATTTTGGTATCGTGACAACACTACTGCAGACTCATTCATTCATTCATTCATCTTCTAACCGTCAATCCTCTTGAGGGTCGCGGGTGGGCTGGAGCCTATCCCAGCTGACATCAGGTGAGAGGCAGGGTACACCCTGGACAGGTCACCAGACTATCACAGGGCTGACACATAGAGACAAACAACCATTCACGCTCACATTCACACCTACGGACAATTTAGAGTCACCAATTAACCTAGTCCCCAATCTGCATGTCTTTGGACTGTGGGAGGAAGCCGGAGTGCCCGGAGAGAACCCACGCTGACATGGGGAGAACATGCAAACTCCGCACAGAAGGGCTCCTACACCCGGGATCGAACCGGCAACCCTCTTGCTGTGAGGCGAGAGTGCTAACCACCACCCCACTGTGCCGCCCCACTACTGCAGACTGTAGATTTATATTTACTGTGAAGATGAGACTGGAATCTTCAATATTTATCCTTTATTTTGAATGGTTTTAAACCATTAACCATCATCAATTATTAGATATTAGGAAGCGACACATTTTATCTTGATATTCAACCCTTCTTCTGACTGGGTATTTATGATCAACTATAGCTGTCTGATGAATCTGAAACTGGTGGTTTGTTGGAATTTAGCTCCATTGAAACCCTCCAGCTTCCTGACTGTATTTTGTGGCCTGTTGGGACTGATAATGGACGTCTTATTGATTAGTCACATCATTTAAACTCCCCCTTGGGGCCACTGAACTGAGTCCCCCTTTTATGACTGGCTGGTTGTTGATTGTATACCACTGTAGTGCAATCTTTTCTGTAGTTGAGCTTGCGTTAAAGTCAGGTCACGTTGATTCACTGTTTGCCTGCTTTCTTTAGAGGCTCTTTTATGATCTGAAGGTATTGATCAAATAATTCATGAATGAAAAAAAAAAAAATACCATAAATGAATGAATGCATTTAGAGTAAGGAGCCAATAACCTGGTGTATACATGTGTTTTTGAGTCTGGTTCTGTACGCCTAAACAAGTTCTAGCTGATCAGAAATGATGGCTGCTGAAGGAGGTTCAAAACAAGTTTGTTTTTTCTCTCTCCTCACGTATCTCCTCACAGTGCTACAGTAACAGATCATATACCACAACAACACAGACCCCTGTCTGTCTTCTCTCCTCTATACATGTAACTCTGGATGGGAAAAAACATGCTTCACGCATGAGTGCAGGGGCTCACACAATGCTTGCATTTATAAACGGATTTCTCTGTGTCTTCACGTCCTTGTTTCTCCATCTTTTTCTCTTTATCTATATGACCTACCGCTGGGTTTGAGGGGTTAGCCTGAGGGAGTTTTTCGCGCAGTTGTGTGTGTGATCGTGTGTGTGTTTCACCAGACCATGATCTCTTACACTGGCACCGGCACCCTGTGAGCGAATGTTTATCCAACTGGCGCCAACTGATTCTCTCACTCCACTGCTTCTTCTCACCCTCGTCATAGTTTTTCATCGTAAGAAATGTCCATTTTCACCTCTCAATAAAACAGGATTTACATTTAAAAAACGTATGAAAAAGGGATTTGGAGGGTCTCCACCAGAAAATTTAGAGCATCAGACACTTAATTTCTTGCATTCTAGTTGTTTTTTATGCACCAATTTGTGCTTTTTCTGCAAAAATGTATGTTTTTTTTATTGGCAGGGAAAGCAAGAAAGGGAAGCATCCCCTATTTTAACACCTATGCCAGATAGTACTGTATCACTGTATCACTGTATATTGAAAGGACTAAAGAAGAAAGACCAAGCCAAGGCCTTTATGATTGGCAGTGTTGCTCCTACAGATCCTCTTCCATTAGCTTCTGAGTCTGTTTGTAAACAAGTTGCATGTCTGCGCAATACTTATGATGCCTGCCTTTACACAGAGTGGGTGTCAGGTGGGTGGAACACAGTTTGGCACATCCAACTTTGTGCAGATTGGAATTTGTATTTTCTATCAAGAGTCCAAGTTTTGATGGAAAATAATTTGGTTTAGTTTGGTAAAAAAAAAAAAAATTCCGCTCAGTCATCACTTTGCTTCTTATGAAATTTTGGCGTATTTGCAGGTTGTGAAAGCTGTAAAAAAAAAAAAAAATTTCATATTTGCAATATGAATCAACATGCCACACTGAGTACCTGATAAACAAAACGATCACACACGAAAAAGGATGAATTCAAATTAAAAACATACTTCTACAAATACGGAGATAGAATGTGTAAATGAACTAAAACATGTTCAAAGTACAGGATAAACAAATGGATACCTCCTCCTCTAGGCAACAAAAATCTCATCTTTCCTTTATGTTTCTTTTTTAATGTACTTCAGACCAGACTTCATAAAATGTCCCTTGGCAGTTGTTAGTACTTGCCATTAATGATTCAAAAGAGGCAATATCCATCATCAACTTTAGCCATCCATCAAACACAGGCTTTCTCAAGCTCTTCCAATGATGCAGAATTATCCTTGATGCCCCAACAAAGCCTGCCAGTGCAAGTCTAAGTTGTTGTTTAGATATACGTAGCGGCAGCAGGGTCTCCTATTAAGGGCAGCCGGGGAGATTTTTTTATGCAGCCATTCTCCATTACATCTGATGACATCTTTCCAGAAAGAAGGAACAAATGAGCAATCCCAATATAAATGAAGAATTGTCCCCCATATGTCCCTTTCTTTGAAGCTTAGCTGGGGTGTAATAATACCTGTGTATGATGTGATGTGCATCTCTAACTGACCATCCAGCACTGGCGTCTACAGTTGTCCAGATGTCCTCTTTGATAATTGAATGAGGATATTTTTCCCAATTTTTTCTTAAATTTGCCAATTACACAATTACCAAGAAAGGTGTTTGTTCTCATATTTACTTAAGACAACCCCCAAACTCTTAATGCAGCTCCTAATTTGTAGATAACACCAGAATCCTCTCTCTTTAAAGCCAAACTCGTCTTTAAGCTCTTGGAAGGAACGTAAAGTGTCTGCCCTACCCACCTTAGTCCTGGTCCCCATGATATCTTGTGTGAATTATGGGTGCATTTTGGCGTCGAACCAAAACTGGCGATTTCCAATGGTAACAGTTTGTTCACAGTACTCTTCTTTCCAAGAGCAATTGGGAAATAAAACGTGGAACACACCACCTGTTAAAGCTCAAACAGCATTATGTGATCATACCTCTGCCATCTCTTACAACCATCTCAAAGCAACCCAGCACGCTAGCAATTAGCTTGCCTCGCTCCATTGAAATCCTGTTAACTTTATCATGGCCCGAGCTAGCTTAAGGTAAACATCTGCTCGTTCTAAAGATGATTTCTGATTTCTGATGACTTATTAAGAGATACTAAGACATTCTGCAAACATTTAACATAATACAGTATTAACTGTAGCTCCATGTAAAGTGAATAAATGTGATGTTTCCCAGCTAATCCTCCGCTCGTCTGCGTTAATGAAGCTGTTTACACATTTTTTTAACTTCTGATTAATTAAAAATTGTCCTGAGCGAAACATGAAGCTGAATTTAGCAGCAGTTTTCAGTAATGGTCATATAAATTAGGAGTAAAAGAAATAACTTTTGGCATTCATTTTTTATATGATATAAAGGAAGTACAGTGAGAATGAGGTCAGATGGGGAAAGACAGGGATAATATGTACTGACGTTGAGTGACGGATCTGTCAGTCTAGGTGTCATTCTCTTAATACTTTTTCGCTGTGTCTGGTGAAACTCTTGTGGTTTTATTTTCATATCAATGGTACATTTGGCAGCAGGAACAATCCCTTTTTGTTCTGGTCACATGTTCAACACACAGTTGCTGAAGAAAAATACGTAGCTTAGACTGGTCGTTAGTCGTTACAGACACAGACACTGCAACAGGTACCAGAGCTCCGCAGAGACATTTTAGAAAAGAAGAGTAAAAAGAGTAGCCACTGGGACTAACCACAGACAGTCTATGGAACTAACTAGCTTACTGCTACTTCCGCTTTCTTACTGGAAGTTGTGCACATAATCATTTCCACAGTAGTGCCCTCAGGAGTAAGGTGGATACAAACAACTAATTTCCTAATATTATTATCTAGCCATGATTCATACAGGATGGGTGTCTTTCCTATCCAGATCGCTGGATTGTTCCAAATTGCATATACTAAGAAAGATGTAACAGGGTATGTCTCCCTGAAATGCTCTAGGATGGGACTGGTGCTTGTGTTTGGTACCTCAGTGTGTGTGAGAACTGTAACATTGTGAACTGAAGTCTGTCAAACCTTTCTATCACTGGCGCCTCTGTTTCTCTACACTCCGACACACACACAGATCACCAGTACCACCCAATGCAGGCCTGCCTTCCCACCCAGCAGGCCTCCTTCATGGGCAGCCAGAGCCCAGGGCTTTCCCAGGGTGTCAGGTTGAGGGTTGGACACCCCCTCCCCTGTCAGGACTGTTATTACAGAGGGTCATCTGTCACCGTTGTTTCCATTTAGACAGTGAGAAAAACCGGCAAATGGCGAAAAGCAGAAGCCACCGGGGAATCCAAATGCACCGAGTACATGGATCTCCTTACCTGTATCAATATTATCCACCCAGCAGTGGCTCTGCTCACCAAATAGAAGGAGACAGAGGATTACACTCAGGTTTCAAAGCCATTCTTTTGGGTTGTTATGGATTTGACAAGAGAACCAGTGAACTGTGGTTTCCCCTTAGACACTCTGAGGTATCTGAGATTTTAATAATGTTTTCATTATTACGCTTCAAAAAAGATCAACAAGTGGACTGTAACAGGGATCAGCCCAAAGTTGCTGCTACCATCTAGTGGTTGGTGATAGTAATTACACCCTTATGTTACTGACTGCAGCATCTCTCTTCTCCCTGTCTAACTCTATTTGCTTCGTGTGTGTGTGTGTGTGTGTGTGTGTGTGTGTGTGTGTGTGTGTGTGTGTGTGTGTAGGATCATGAAGTTCCATGTGGCAAAAAAGAAGTTTAAGGAGACATTGCGTCCGTACGATGTGAAGGACGTCATAGAGCAGTACTCTGCAGGACACCTCGACATGCTCTGTCGCATCAAGAGCCTTCAGACGAGGTCAGGACACACACACACACACACACACACACAAGTACAAAAAAATCATAACTTTCTATACAGTTGAACAACTTATATGTTCATGTTTACTGTTTTTGACATCTGTAAATTGGTCTATATACTGCAAGAGCTTTTATTCTTACGGACTTGCGTAGGTGGATGTTGCCGCCACTGTTGCTGGCAGTTCCTACCAGTCTTCTACTGACAGTCCTGTAAAATGAAATCAGTCTACTTTTACCTTGTTCTCACCTCCTTCTATGTCTTTTGTACCCACTGTGTATGTGTGTGTACGTACTGTATATGTACACGTGTGTCCCCTTTCTCTCCCAGACTAGACACTGTAGTGGGTCCCCCTCCGAGGCCGTTCAGCAGCCGCCACAAGACCTTTTCTTCTCCCTCCCTGCATTTATATTACAGCCAGGCCCGGAGGAAACAGTCTGCACCGGGGTTAGACATACCCCGTCCTGATCTGCTCGCCAACTGCTTCCCTGCTAACATAACCAAAACTTTGATGACGTTGCACCTGGGTCATGCAGCATGCATTCACATGAACATGTATTGCATCCTTGCATAAGAATAGCCTGTAAAGGTTGGAAAGAATCACAGAAGCTTTGGTTTATTTAGTTTAATTCAGTTTAGTTTAGTCCTGCCAGCTTGAGTGTCAGGAAATAATGTGTGTGGCAGGTAACATTTACTGAATCTGAGATAGTATGTGGTGAGTTGCAACAGAAAATCTAACCAAATTGCCTGCTTGACCCAGGTCTGGCTGTAGAGGTCATCAAGGAGCCCAAGCAATGGATTACAAATTGTTTTACAAGAGGAAAATAATGAAAATATATCAAGTTTTTGAATCAGATGTTACATTATAGGTAGAATATATCTGGGTTCTGCTGAGCCTCAGTGATATGAGTTAAGAAACAGACACTGTCTCATAGTCATTCACTTTTTTGTACAACATTTTCAACCATAAAGGTCCTTTATTACACCATTTTTATTTGTTTAGCTAAAGTAATATAATACTTTTAAATGCTTGTGAATACTTGTTTGTGTCACACTGAAAATTATGTCATAATCCTGATTTGGGCACCTTGACCACCTCTACCAGTTGGAACATTTCGTTAGCTAACATGCTCTAGGTTACAATAGAAGTAAGACAATCTATTCAGTGCTACATAGAGATGCAGTTCATCTAGGTTTTCCTCACGTAAAAGCTCCAATCCAGAATTTATTTGACCCCATAAAACTAAATTTACCATATTAGATGTATCAAGAATCTGACTTCATCATCATTTTCTTGTTCCTTTTGCAGCTTCAACCCACATAAAGAGGCCTTGAGTTCTTGTATCAGAGTCCAAGTCCATAATCACTTAACTTCTGTAAAGCAAAGCTTGGCACATTATTCCACTAGGGGGTGCTAGAAATACCATTATGGATTGGGACTTTCACATGTAGAAACCACATTTAAAAAAAAAAAAAAAAAGAAGAAGAAGTTTGTTTTTAGCTCTCGGTCATCTGGTGTTTTGTTGTGCTGAATGAACAGCAGTGCTGTAGGCGATGCCAGTGCTGTCAGTAGTTCTCCTGTTTAACAACCTAGTGCTTGTTTTTTGTATCTGGGTGTTGGTTTGAAGTGTGTTTTGGCAAAGGCTGTAGATAAACACAGACCACGTCAGTGCTAAGAGGTGCATTTACTGTATCTCATTAGCATTGCTATCAGACATCCATTGTATCAGTATTGTTTATAACTATTACAGTCTGTTTTTAATGAGTTACTCTCTGAGGCTGATAAAAACATCTAAATGACAATTGCATTGTCAAATGTGGATTGAAGAGGACGTTACAGTCTAAAAGCTGTTTTATTAATACATTTTCCTGCTGTGGTATAAACAAATTTCAGTCAGGACCACTTTAGTTAAGGAAAACTTTATTTACATTTGTGGTATTATATTTGGCGGTGTGGCTCTGCGGCCTCTCTGCCTTTTCTCGGGCTTACACAGAAAGCTCTAAGGTAGAGAAAGCACACTTCTCTGCCCTTCCACACACCTACATGGGAAGCCTAAGGCAGAGAGAGCACACCTCTCCACGTGCCTGTGTGGAAAACCTGAAGTCAGAGAGAGATCACATTTCTCTGCCCTTCCACTTGCAAATGAGGAAAGCCTGAGACAGAGAGAGCAAACCTCCCTGCCCTTCCATGCGCCTACATGGGAAGCCTAAGGCAGTGAGAGCAGCAGCAAAGACCCACGGGAACAGAACAGAGCAGCATCAATGACAAACAGAAATGATATTGATAAGTCAGACACAGCATGAAAAGGAGGAGCTGGGGTGGAGGCAGGTTGCAAAGCAGCTTGAAGAGGAAGCAGCAACAGTAGGCAGGCCAGAGCAGTTTAAATAGGGCACCCTGAATGAGATTCACCAATTGGTTGCATAGAAAGGAATCATGTGATCTATCAGCTGACTCCCTTCCATCAATCAGCTGCTCCATCAGCTGATGTAGCTGGTATGTGAGCTGAGCTTGACATTGTGTCCTGCCTGAACTAACACTGTGCTCCTATGTGGGACAAAGACTACTTACATGATAATACTGAATATGTTTTATTATCAAAATATTTTTAAAAATTCAAACATCAGTTCCAATATCAGCCTTTGACAACTTTATTTTCAGCCCATTTTCCCCTCTCATCATCTGTGTTTATCTACATGCCAATTTCATTTATTATCAGTTACTATGTGACTGGATTTGTTCATTTGTCCACCTGTGCTTCATGCTTTAGTGTGTGTGAGCGTGTGAGTGAGTGTAAGATAGAGACAGAGAGAAAGATGTATCTGACCCAGTCTTTTTCCTGTCTCCAGACTGGCCAGTGCAGTGGGCTCTGGTCCCAGCCTGAGTAGCCGACCCAGGAACATGTCCTCTCCTGCCCTGCACTATTATTACAGCAGCAACAGGAAGAAGCTCTCTGGCTCAGGGTTACTTTTATTTAACTTTTTAATTTTACCATAGAATCCCATTAGTTCCCCTAAGACTATTAGTGCTCATTAGTTCCCTTGCTGTCCCCGAAAGCATTTGAGTGTGAATTGTCACACTAAAACAGACATGCTCACAGAAATACTCGCTGTTTGTATTCACTTTCCTATGGCACCAGGTGGTTGGAGTTTACATTAGACTATGTACTAGAGTGTTTACATACAGAAAAAGTATTTTAAAAGTGTTAACCTGAAACATGATCTAATGCGTTAAACTCCAGCCATTTGGTGAGGATTTTATTAACCAAGTCTGATACACACAAACATTTGCATTTGATGCAAATGTGTACTAACGTTTACACCCATCAGTCGTGTTGCTACATTAGATACCATGCAAATACTTCATCTTTTTTTCCTGCACCAGAAAGGGGAAACATTTGCGTGTGTGTGTGTGTATATATATATATATGTGTGTGTGTGAATGTTGCTAACGTGTGTGCAGCTGTGTTTTCCAATTAATTCATGTGTTTTGTTTTAGATAAAACATGTGTGTTTCCTGGGTGCTGGCCTCTCCTAGATCGATGCATGTTAGAGATACACAAACTTAATTAACGTCACTAATTTGACATTATTATACTGTCAAAGAACTTGTGTGATTTGATCAATACTCTGACATTTAGAAAGTAGGCTACAGATTCATTTGTAATCTGAATACAGCTCTGTGTTTAGCATCTCCCCTGGATTTTAAATGTCTTAAAACATCAGGGGCCGTGTTCACAAAGCTCCTGAGAGCACTCTCAGAGCGCTCCTAACTCAGCCTAAAAATATTTTAGTAAGGGACAGAAACATTTACCTTAGTAAAGAGGTGTGGTTGACCCTGTTGCTGGGTATGATGCTTGCTTTTAACAGGTGTGATTGGTTGTCTAAGACACACCCTGTAGTGAGCCTGCAAGGTGTTGACACCCAGTGGAAATGAACTGAACTGCTGACTGTGAAAGTGTTGTCATTGTTAGTGTGATCACTCTGCTGATGGAAGGTTGAGACAGACCCAAGTCATCACTGCTGCACTGTTGNATATGTGTGTGTGTGAATGTTGCTAACGTGTGTGCAGCTGTGTTTTCCAATTAATTCATGTGTTTTGTTTTAGATAAAACATGTGTGTTTCCTGGGTGCTGGCCTCTCCTAGATCGATGCATGTTAGAGATACACAAACTTAATTAACGTCACTAATTTGACATTATTATACTGTCAAAGAACTTGTGTGATTTGATCAATACTCTGACATTTAGAAAGTAGGCTACAGATTCATTTGTAATCTGAATACAGCTCTGTGTTTAGCATCTCCCCTGGATTTTAAATGTCTTAAAACATCAGGGGCCGTGTTCACAAAGCTCCTGAGAGCACTCTCAGAGCGCTCCTAACTCAGCCTAAAAATATTTTAGTAAGGGACAGAAACATTTACCTTAGTAAAGAGGTGTGGTTGACCCTGTTGCTGGGTATGATGCTTGCTTTTAACAGGTGTGATTGGTTGTCTAAGACACACCCTGTAGTGAGCCTGCAAGGTGTTGACACCCAGTGGAAATGAACTGAACTGCTGACTGTGAAAGTGTTGTCATTGTTAGTGTGATCACTCTGCTGATGGAAGGTTGAGACAGACCCAAGTCATCACTGCTGCACTGTTGCAGTTTCCCCATTTTCCAAATATCTCAGTGTTGTGATCATTTTATCTCTGGTGTCATAGCATGATTGCGTTGGGTGTGAAATGTCATCCAGTGTTTGAAGAATATTTCTCCTACCTCTTTGTGTTTCTACCATTTTCTCCTCTGATTAAGGAGCTCTTAAACTCCTCAAAGTCCCCCTACCTGCTCTTAAAGGGATAGTGCACCCAAAAATGAAAATTCAGCCATTATCTACTCACCAATATGCTGACGGAGGCTTAGGTGAGGTTTTGGAGTCCTCACATCCCTTGCGGAGATCCAAGGGGGGAGTGGGTAGCAATACATCTCCACCTAATGGAGGCTTACAGCGCCCCAGATACAAACGTCCAAAAACACATAATTGAAACCATAAAATATCTCCATACTGCTCTTCCGTAGTGATCCAAGTGTCCTTAAGCCCGACATAAAAAGTTGTTTGGAAAAACGTCATTTGAACTCTGTTTTTAGCCTCATTGTAGCCTGTAGCACTCACTGCCTCTCTGTGTACTGCACTCACATGTGTGCGCTTGCACGTGACCGTGAGACATGGGCACCGCGTTCATGTGTGCTCATGTGCTTTCGCTGGTCTCGCGCACACACGTGAGCGCGGTGCACAGAGAGGCAGTTAGAGCTACAGGCTATCCCTTTTACAGTTTTTCACCTTAGGAGCTCTTTTAAGGGCTAAGACACTTTGTGAATAACATTTATCTTGACTTAGTCTTAGCTTTAAGGGGGAATCCTAAGAAGAAAACGCCACAAGTTTCATCACTAGGAGCAACTCTTAGCGCTAGGAAGCTTTGTGAATACAGCCCCATATATATACATGTATGTTTCCTCATTCATTTTGGAATGGAAAGTGAAATGAATATCTGTTGATGGATGTACACACCTCAACGTTGTTCCACAAAAACCTGGTAAATTCAGTTATAAAGGGGCTGTGAACATTTTCTGAACACGTTGCATGAATTTTTTTTAAACTCAAAAGTTCATTGTCTAGCTTGAGTCACCAGGTTTTCATCCAACAGCAACAATATGCTCTTTGCTAAATCTAATTTTGAGATATAGTGCTCATAAATAACTTGCTTTCATTCCCTTTCCTCACAACTTGTGAATATGTCTTTTTTGGGGTGTGCATGTTGGTTTTTATTTGTGAAAAGAGTCCATGCAAATGACATAGGTCTACTGCATGTACACCATTTTGAATATACTGTTTTTCTTTGTTCCAGAAAAACGGACAACTTTGGAGATAAGGGCATTGATACAGCCGACCTATGTGTGTTGTGTGTTTTACTAACTCTAACCTTAACATCCTACTGCTGTTTTAGGTTTGTGACGTGACTTGGGATAACCTGAAATGAGGCTTGGGGTGCCTACTTATATTACAGCATCAGTATTTTCAATATATTAACACCGGTATATGTGTGTGTGTCAGGGTGGATCAGATTCTGGGAAAAGGCCAGATCCCTGTGGATAAGAAGATGAGGGACAAACTGCATCCAGATGGAGACTCTCTGGAGGGCATGAGCATGCTGGGACGTGTGTGTAAGGTGGAGAGACAGGTGAGCTGAGTTTTGATTAAAAAAAAATCTGAGAGGGGGAAAAAACTGCATCAGCACTATCCTTTAAAAATGCATTTGCAAGATTTTATTACCCAATATTGTTAATGATATAAGAAGCAAGGAGCTGATTTGGGCTTTTGATCAATACCAGTGAGTCAGGATTTACTGTGCCAAGCACGGAGATCTCTGGCTTCAAAACTTACTTACTGGTTTGACATCTGTTTTGGAAACACCAGAGATCTGTCAGTGTTACGGAAAAAATCCTCGGTTGAAAATGGAGGTCAATAAAAGTCATAAATTGTTCAGCAGCCCTTTAAGCTTCAAAATCTCTCTTGCTTTGCCTCCTTTCATTGTCTCACTCGCTCGCTCTTTTTCCCAGGTAACTTCCATTGAATCAAAGTTGGACTCTTTGCTGGACGTTTACCGCCAAGTGCTACAGAAAGGCCCCACAGCACTCACCCTCTCCTCCTTGCCCCTGTTCGAGCTGGACAACCACCACAACTCGGACTACCAGTCCTCCATCATCGGCAGGGATCTTCCCTCTCCTCAGGGAGGTGATCCAGGTGGAGGCGGAGGAGACAACAATGGGGGAATCGGCCGTTCTCTCTGCTCCAACCCGAGAGGCCTGCGGCTTATCCTGGCACCTGCTGATGATGACTGCCCCCCTGACTCAGCACCTCCATCTTACCCCCCATCCACAGCCTCGCTCTCCCCATCACCCCTGCTGCCTCCTGATAGCCCCTACCCGACCTTGGTCACCCCCAACGGTACCTCCAAAAGAGCACACTTCCCTGACCTGCCACCTCCACCTCCTTCAACAGGAGGTTTCACCCTCCGCCTGCCCCCAATGTTGCATCCCTCCCACCTGCGGTGCTCCGCTGACCCCGTCCCAGATGAAATGACAGATGAAGTCTCGGTAGATGAGGGGAGCCTGGGCCCCTCTGTTGTTGTGGGATCCAGTGTAGATGCTGACCAGGAAGGGGACAGTGAGGCAGCCCCTGCCCAGGGAGGGGTGCAGCTGCGGGAGAAGTCTGGCTTGAAATCTGAGGGGGTCTGGAGGAGGCACATGAGCCTGGAGGTTAACCCCCTGCTGCTGCTCTCGTCCAGCCCGGACGAGAGGCCTTCAGACTGGGGAGGCAGTCTCGGGAAATCCCTCTCCGTGCACAATCTCAGCCAGCCTTTGACCAACCGTGCCCCCGGTCTCTCCTCTGCGCTCAACAACAGCAGCAGCAACGGTAGCAAACGTGGCAACGCCCACGGTGACCTTAGCAACTGGGACGGAACAGAACTCTTCATTAGTGAGTGCAAGCTAGAGCCAGCAGAAGAACATTTCAACTACCTGTCCCAGGGACCCGACAGCAGCCCCTCAGACCTTTTACAGACTGTGGAGGAGGCTGCACCACGCCCTGACTTTCTCAGTCAGTCCCCACATATACAGCTGGCATAACCACATTAACACACACACACACACACCTGCATACTGTATGTACACGACATTGTCGGGGAATACTTTTAAAGTATTTTTACAGGACACTATACAGATTATGTTGCAAATGTCCAAACAATGCCTTGTATATGGACATACAATATTTTTATATTTTGTCTAACATGATTATTCCCACTTTCATAAAGATTTTATGAGTTATTTGCTTTTTACAGGGTACTGAAATCACCATAAAGAATAGTAATGGAGGTATAAGATATGTATGAAAGTGGGCATAGTCATCTAAGACAAAATACACAAATAATGTTCCTTTAAGAGAAATCACTCTGGTCTTTACTAAAGATACTCAGAAATTTTATTAACTTTATACAACAAAAAAGGTTTTTCATATACAAGATCATATATTAATAAAAAAGGATGTTAATAACCTTTTAATTTTGTTTAAAATAAAGAACAAGGAAGGAATGTTAACTGATTTCTGAGCCTGCAGTCTGACACCTGCCTACTAGGAATTAAAGTGTAGAGGCAAAATAATGTGGTCCACCACAGTAAGTGTCTGTGAGTAATGTAAGCTTTCTTGTCCATGCAATTTCCATCAGTCTGAACTGAAACAAGCAGGAGTGTTTGTTGTAGAAAGTAAAGCATAATTTAATCTGCCTTGTGGCAACCTTGACAATTAAATGAGTGAATAAAACCAGAAGGAAATACTGTATGTCTCACAGCTAAAAGTCAAGAGTAGAGTTGAACTCACAGAAGCCACTGGAAACTATAGGTCAACCACTTCTTTCTTAACATGCGGTGAAACCACTACATACACAGGTACATGCACACACATACAACCACAACCACAACCACAGGATACTCCAGCCAACTTGACGAAGAGCTGTGACTGACTAATGACTTTATTTTTCATACAAGTGCTTGTATTCAGAGACTTTGTTGGAAGACAAGAGGAGTCACTCGCTCTTCTTACTCAGCGTCTGTCTTTGGCAATGTAAAATGTCATCTTTTACTTACGCTTTCATACATATCACTGCATGGACTGTTTCCAAAAACAAATGAATGAAAGGAGAATAATGGGTGAGGCCTGGTGGGGTGGGAATAGCTGGATTACAAAAAAAGGGCCAAAGGTCGAACCCTCCGCATGTATTCAGACCACAAGCATCACATTCTGTTCATTTTCTACAACCACAGAAACGTTAGTCAATGTTTATACGGTTGCTCAGTTTCATCTGTCAGCAAGTTGTCAGTGAATTTGGATGCAGCAAACCTTTTGGGGAAAAATGGCCTATCAGCAATCACTCAAGATGAAGGGCTGCTGGACCATGTCCCATTTGGTTTGGACAGTAGCCTGGTGAGTTAGTTGCTTACGGTCTGGATGCTGAAATGCCGCAGGCTTATCGAGTGGGCTCTCTCAGCCAAGCATGACATGCTGCATGTCTCAGCTGTTGCAGTACTTACAGTGAAGAGCAGTCACACACTTGCTGGTGGCCTGGATGTCCCTCTGCATGTTAAAAAAATGTTTCCTCCAAAATCTTGAACGAAAAAGTTTGAGCAAAGTCTGCCTATATGAACATTATTATATACTAATTTGAACTAATTTGAAAGTAGTGATATAGATAACCCACTTCCTGTTACAATTTAGAACAAACATACAACCTTTAAAGGTCTTTAGATTTTTTTTGACAAACCCTGTCTTTTTACTGGGTGCTGGTTGCACCATGTGCATTAATAATGATGCTGGACTGAGCATATTCCCTCCTCCTAGTCTAAAGCAACATGGGATGTAGTGTGTTGTTACAGGGCAACATGTACATAGCAGGTTATTTTGCACCCATGAAAACAACATACAGCACATGCACTGTTGTTGATCCAGTATGCATGTTGCTACTTTATCCGTGTGTCCGTTCTGCTGCTGACGATGTCAGAAAAATTTGATATATTCACTTAAAAAACAGGAGCGAGAGGGAGTGAGATGAGAAAACCGTGCCCTGTAATCTCAATATAAAATCCTAATAGATATTTTCTGTGCACTCAGCTGGTGCTCTGATCCAGAGCAATGTGCTTATAAGAAAACCTTGGCAGGAGACTAACTGGATGAGCCAGGATCTCAGATTAAAATGTGGTTTTTGTGTTAACCTCTTTTACATCTTCTGCTGCACCCAAAAAAAAACATATTTCCCAGGATTTTAAATATGCACACGTCCTCCTCACCACATCAAACATGATTATAATATTTAACCATGTAGGGTCATTGTAATAAGCTTTAAAATCGAGTGCACACATTTGTATTTTGGTGCATTCAGTCCATGTTCAGATTTCACTTGCAGGCGTATGGGAAAATGGTGTGCTGCAAGTTCCTTGAATGACACTGTCCTTACACTACACTTGATAGTTTTCACTGCCATCCTGCTTGTTGACTGTTCTTGAGTGAGAATTATGCACAAAAATACGTCAGCCATCTTAATTTTATGTCAGCCATTTTGATTTGTTGTTGCATGTTTACGTCTTAAAGGGGTACGCCGTCACAGCAGTCTTAAAAATGTATTTTAACGTGTTAACGACAACCTTTATTCATCATTGTTTTTCAGTTTTATTCCCTTTGTTTTGAATGGTAAGTGCAAATTTACTTAGCAAATAAATTAACACTCTGTAGAAGAACATAACAAGTATTATCTCCTAACAAGTGACAATTGTAAACACGTGTAGATTGATTTTGAAATATTATACAGCCCATGCAGGAGGTGATGAGCTATATGATCAACGTGAAAGCACAGTTGTTTTTTGGTGAGTTTGAGGAGCCTGAAAATGTGACATGGTAGTTTAATGCTTAATATTGGAATAGATTTGTTGTAGTTGTTGATTGAGTTTTGATACATATGAAAAGAGGCCAACCAAAACTGTCAGTTACTGTGGAGCAAGATATCGGACACGAGAGAAGCTCAAGGACTCAGCCAGTCGGGGGAAGGGATTGATTATCTCCCACATAAAACATGCTCATTTTTGCAATCTGTAAATTGCTTAAGGGTGCCTTTCTTGCATATGAAAAGTCTTCATTTTTTTCTTTGCAGGGCTACAAAGGTCCTGTTTGCCTATAGCCTATATCATACTGTATAGTTGAAGTCAAACTGCTCATTTTGAGTTGGGCATCCAGTTCACTTAAGTCATGTAGCTTTAGCCACAGACTTTATACGGCTTTGATGGATAATAATACCATTTCTCTACTGCTTGAACAGTAATTTATTACACAACCGGGCCTTAAAGCTTGACAATGTTAACATTATTATTTCTTTGAAATTAATTTATTAAAGTGCACATTATGTTCTCTGGATGAGAAATGCAAAAATAATTTTATTATTCATTAATAAAGTACAAATTAACTAAACTGTTTTTGGTTTTTGTGTCTTTTTTTAAAATCAGAATTTCATAAACTTAAAGTGAAAGTCAGCACATGGTCATGTTGCCTTTTTTGGAATGATGCTTTTAAGTTTTCAGTGTGGTTGATAATGGATTTAAGGGTGTGGTTATGGGTGGGTTTTGAGACAGTGGGCTTCTGGGCACATATATGCAGATATGTCAGGACTCCACCACCCGTACCACACAGAAACAAGATACACAGACTTTGTGGTGGTTTTGTGTCTTTTTGTGGTCTGTTTGTGTGAATTTGAGGTAGTTTGGTGTCTCCTTGGGACTGTTTTGTGTCTTTTTTTGTCATTTTGTGTGTCTTTTTGTGGTCATTTTGTGTCTCCTTGCGATTGTTTTGTGTATTTTTGAGGTATTTTTGTGCCTTTTTTAGTTATGTGTGTTTTTGTCGACATTTTGAGCCTCCTTGTGCTTGTTTTGCAGTCATCTGGGTCTCTGTAGTAATTTTATGTCTTATTCAGGTAATTGTATGTCTCTTTGACTTAATGGTATGTCTTTTTTAGTTGTTTTGTGTGTCTCTGTAGACATTTAGTGTTTTGTGTTCTTTTGAGGTGTCTTTTTTGGTTATTTTGTGTCTGTAGTAATCTTGTGTCTTCTTCTGGCTTGTTCTGTGTCTTTTTGTAGTGGTTTGTGTCTTTGACATAATTTTGCGTCACCTTGTGATTGTTTTGTGTCTCTTTGCAGTCATTTTGTGCCTCTTTGTGGTTGTTTTGCCTGGTTTTTGTAGATATTTTGTGTCTCTGTAGTGCCTTTGCATTCCTTTATCGTCTTTTTGTGTCTCTTGGAGGTCATTTTGAGTCTCTTCTCTTCCTTCAACTTTGACCATTCCTTCTTTTATATTTTCCTTGGTACCAACCAGAAAGAGACTCAAAATGACCACAAGAGAATACAAAGGAACTACAGAGACATAAAACATCTACCAAAAAAACTGGCAAAACAACCACAAAGAGACACAAAATTACCAAAGTGAAAACAACAAAGATATGATGGGTTATAGTGGGATTTGCTGTGCCCGCCTCATTGACTCCAATAGAACTGGCACCAAAGTCTGGCTCCTGGAACGCTGTCACTGTAGTCACGGCCATTCCTTCTTTTATATTTTCCTTGGTTGGCACCATAGACTGTATAAATAAGGTTGGCACATGTTAATTTGAGTAGCATTTTGCAGGTGAAGGCCTGGGGGCCCCCTGAAACTTTGGGACCTTGAGGCTTTGCCCAGTAGGCCCATTCAGTAATCCGTCCATGGGTGTGGTATCAAATATAATTAGATTTTTTTGGCAAATTTCTTTTCTCTTCCTTTTTATGTTATACTTACAATTTCATTTTATACAAACACATTCCATGTTTATAAATACAATATTTTTAAATCCCTTACAAAGTCGGAAGTGTGGACTCGCGGACAGGAAGTGAAGGTGACACAGTCTTGACAGTTGATTGCCGTTAGTGAAGTGACCCTGGCAGCAGGTGGTGAGCCACACCCAAGATGTCTGACTGGGAGGATGAGTACGACGAGGGCGGCGTTGCTATCCAGAAGCCTGCTACTAAATCAGCTCCGACTGAATGGAAACCGCCGAGTTACGACAGTCGCAGGGAAAATGTTTGTTTCGGTGTGAGAGGTGGAGGCAGGTCTGGAGCTCCGAGAGAGTGGAGAGCTGACCGCGGCGGCGGCGGCGAGAGATCCGAGTACACAAGCCGGGCAAATGGAGGCGAAGGTCGGCCTGGACGACGAACCTTTGGAGATGAAAGGCCTGTGACTTTCACCGTGGAAAACACTTCAGTTGGGAGGGTAATAGGTAAGGTTAAAAAGCGATAACTTATATTCAAATTAGTGCTTCACATAATGGAGTCTTAGCTAGAGTTCGCTGTTAGCTAACAGCTATGCTAACGACTATTGGTTTGATGGTGTAATCCCCATCCTGCAGAGATTCACAAACTGTGGGTAACGTTACCGTCTGTTACGTTACATTAATGTGGCTTATGTTACTCATGTTTCCACTGCTGTAACTAGCGATGTGTGGAGATTTTGGTCAAACTCTAAATATATTTTAATCTCATTTAAGGTCGTGGAGGAGCCAAAATCCGTGAACTTGAAGAGAGCACCGGTGCAAGGATCAAGGCAAGTTGACTGATGTTAGTCTCAGACTAGTGCAGCACATCCATGAATATACAGTGCTGATGTTGGGCATTATAATATACTTTAAAATGGAAAACTTAATGTACCCATGGCGGCAGTAGCTCAGTCCATAGGGACTTGGGTTGGGAACCGGAGGGTTGCCTGTTCGAGTCCCCGTCCGGCCCAAAATATGGAGCTGCCGAGGTGCCCTTGCGGAAGGCACCCCTCACTCTGACATCTCTCCACTTTGTGCATGTGTAGGTCCTGTTTGTGCATGTGTGTGTCTTTCGGACCTGTGTGTAATTGACTAGCAAGAGTGAAAACATTGAATTTCCTCTCAGGTGGATTAATAAAATAAATAAACTTAAACTTACAGTGCCTCAATGTTACTCATGCAGACTCAGACTGAACCAAGAAAGCAGGCAGATGGTATTTCTGTATGTCTTAGGGTGTTTTCACATTTAGTCCCTTTTTAAATGAACCAAACTCAGTCCTCTTAAAGTGAAAAAAAGTGGACCAACAGTAAAGGGACTCAGTTCTTCTTGCATTCACATTGTCAGTTCATTCTGGTCACCTTCGTCTCTGATGGGGTCTCAGTTCTCTTTCTGTTCACATCACATTATATATGATACAGTATCTCACATAAGTGAGTACACCCCTCCCATTTTTGGAAATATTTTATTATATCTTGTTATGGGACAACACTATAGAAATGACACTTTGATATAACTTAAAGTAGTCAGTGTAAGCAAGGGACAGTTGTCTTGGTGCTCTTTCAGCATGTGTGGCACCTTGGTGAAGAGCACCAAGACAACTGTCCCTTGCTTACAGTCAAGTATAGTGGTGGCAGCATCATGGTTTGGGGCTGCATGAGTGCTGCCGGCTCTGGGGAGCTCGGTTCATTTAGGGAAACATGAATTCAGAGCGGCGCATGATCGCCCCTCTTCAGAAACTGGGCTGCAGTGCAGCTTTCCAACATGATAATGACCCAAAACAAACCTAGTAGATGACAACTGCCTTGCTGAGGAAGGTGAAGGTAAAGGTGATGGACTGGCCAAGTATGTATCCAGCCCTAAACTCACCTGTGCACCTGTGGGGCATCCTCAAGCTGAAGGTGGAGGAGCAGAAGGTGTTTTCACATCCATCTGCTCCATGATGTCATCATGGAGGAGTGGGAGAGGATTCCTGAAGCAACCTGTGAGCTCTGGTGAATTCCATGCCCAAAAGGGTTAAGGCAGTGCTAGATAAAAATGGCTGGCACACAAAATATTGACACTTTAGGCACAATTTGGACATGTTCACTGTGGGGTGTACTCACTTATGTTGCCAGCTGTTGCAATGTTTATGGCTGTGTTTTGAGTAATTTTCAGAGGAAGGTAAATCTACAGTGGTGGAAAAAAGTTTTTGGACACCCTTAAAATTTTACACAATCTCAAATATTATCATGAAATATTTGTGGAAAAATCTTTTTTGTGTTTCAAAAGGTGTGGCTGCATTAGACAGATACAAACAAATACAAATTATATTTTTTTGTTTATTGTTTACAAGAAAAACTAACAAAACTAAATTCTTGACAGTTTCAATATGTCAGTTCTCAACATTGTCGGTATCAAAGTCAACAAATAACAGAGAATGTGTTCAAAACTGAACAAAAAATAAATAAACCATCACATCATCAAATTAATATTTAGTAGTCCTGCCATTGGCACATAGTAGAGCTCTAATCCTGGCTGGCATGTTCCCCACTAGCCTTTCACACTGTTGAGGGGTAATCTTGTCCCATTCTTCTTGAATTACTGCTTTTAATTCTTCTAAATTCTTTGGTTTATGCTTTGAAACAGACCTTTTGATAATCCACCACAGATTTTCAATGGGGCAAAGGGAAGGCAGAGCCAAGGAGATATGTCTGTGCGGACTGAACTCTTCCCCGCTGGACCAGGCCGAACACTCTACCTCCCCCTACTCCCTCATTTTGATGAGGGAAGAGAGGCGTCCGGAACAATTGAAGACGATGTAGTGTCAATGGACTGCTTAAATATAAAGTTTTCTTTTAGATCACCAGAAATGCAGCTCAAGCTTTAAATCACCTTCAGAATCCACCTAACAGCAAGCCTTGACTGCTGTGCTGCTTCCCTGTACCCTTTTCTAAGCATAGTGAATGTTTCTCTTTGCATTAGCAGGCATATATAGGATGTTATATTTATTCCCTCTTTGTAAATCTGCTGCTCTTTTTTCCAGATAAACAGGGGGGGCTATGAAGCTGAGGTGGTCCTCTTTGGGTCCTCTGATGCCCAGCAGAAGGCCAAGGAGATGATTGAAGACCTGGTGGCTGATGGCAACTCTCGTTTTCCCAATGGTACAATGTCAGTTTTTCTGTCTTTATCTTGGTTGGCAAACTCTTTCCATTGATGTAGTCACATTTTACACTTCAATATGAGCTCATTTTGTATCCATAAAAGGATCTAATTTCCCTTCAATGTAGTAAATTGTCCTCAGGTTAACATTGTGCTGTATGTGAGTAAGATATCTTGATTGTTTTTGTAATGTAGCAGGGCCCCAGCGAATGATAAGCAGATACTATTAAGAATGCTGCACAGACTTGAGCTTAAACTAAATAACTACACACTCAGTTAAGAAAGAGCGGGAAATGTTTTCTGTGATTTCTTACTTAGAGTGTCTTCTCGTTCCTTGGATGAAGAAATGTGAGTTCAGTTGTGGCAAGGAAATATGAGTTTTAGCAACAATTTGTAGATATTCTTTTCTAAAAAAGTAATTTTTATCCTTCAGCGAACACTTAGGTAGTTAACATGGTTATATTTTAAGCAACACTAAGTATTTTTACTTTAACTGCTCTAAGCTAGGGATGCAATGATTCATCGACTGAACATCGGTATCAGCTGATATACGCCTTGTTGACTGCCACTGGTCTTTGGGCAGATAAGATAACATTTATGGATGGCTGTGGCTGATCTTTATCTGTTTTACATCAGTTTTGTGCAGACTGAAAGGCAGGGCTCAGTGACTAACATCGACCTGTCATCCCAGGGACAATAGAAAACATGTTTGGGATGATTATAGATATTCTTAGGATTTCTTGAGGATGAAAGGATGCGGTAAACACACTGTTGAAGTGTATTTTTTTTCCTGCTGATGCTACATTAATGACAAATCCTTGTTGAAATCCGAGTATCGGCAGGAGGAGAGCTAGTTAAGGTTAGCTGTTAGCAGCCAGTGCCCAGAGCTAACAGTTTATGATGTTCCATTATGATGCGTTCAAGCTCAATTCAGTAAAAGTGACCATTGGGCGAAGGTAAATTAGAATGTATGATGTGTTTAAATGTAATCTTAAAAAATGTAATTTTTGGTGAGAAACTTTAAGAAATAGTCATTTAAAGGAGAAATTTGTTGATGTTTTCACAGCACTATAAAATAGATATTAAAGAGGGAATTATGATATATACAGTTAAAAGGCTTTTGAAGCAATAAAAAAATGTTTTTACATGAAAGGATATATAAAAGGTTGTTTTATCTATCTTATGATTGAATTTGTGCTCATTCAAAGGTAGTGTAATGAAGAGCTTAATGACTTTAAAACAGTTGGGTTCAGTGCAGATGTCTTTGTTTCTCTGGCACAGGAGGGGGAATAAATAAAGACACAAAATATCAGTTCTGGCTTCATCCAAATTGTAATTTAAACATTGGTAACGGCCCGGAATTTCACAATCAGTGCGTCCCTACTTTAAAGCACTTAAATTTCAGCTGCAACATCTTGCAGCTCTTACTGTGTGTTCAGACAGAATGAGGGCAAATTTTCAAGGCAGTGTGGCTGCTTACAAAGTCAAAAGAAGGCCGTGATTTTAACATAAACACACTAGGGCTGTACCCAAATATTCGGATATTCGAATATTCATTTCTATGGGTAGGTAGTTGTTATGAAAATTTGGTATTCAATATTCGTTTTTTTATTCACTTTTTTTTTTTTTTTTTAACTGGTTTTTTGGTGCTAAATGTAGTCTTTTTGTTGTTGGTAAATGCAGGTTATTAATAAAAATCAAAACTTTTAAATTGCATTGTTAAAAATGTGAAAATATAGTATCCTACCAACTGAGCTTGTGCACGGCACGCTTGAGCACATCCGTCTGAGGTTGTGGATCAATACCAAGTTTTACCACTTTATCACTATTCCCTCTAACTTGTAGCTGTTTTTTCGTTATCTTTTGAATTTAATATGAATTATGGAACTGTTTTTGTCAACGTTTGTTTCCCCCCGTTTTGTACAATAAATTATTGTTTAAAGTTTCAACAAGTTTCTTTTGGAGTGCGTGACGCAAGTGTGTTTTGAAAACGGCCACGGACTGTCACCTGCTCAACGCATCAGTACCTTCGGATGCCATGACAGTAATAGCCAATAATGTCAAAATATCATTTACAGACCGATGTAACAGACGATCACTGCTGCCTGACCCGCAGGTCCATTTGCGGGTCCCGCGGGTTACGGGTTGACCCGCGCATCACTACTCAGCTCAGTCTATAAGGCTGTACACACAACAGTAAGGCTATAGACATTATATTCCATTCAGGCCGGCAGAACCTCTACAGTGCACGGCACTGCTGATTAACCATTTTATTGCAGCACAGAGTGTCTGCCAGCAACCAATTACTTGCAGAGGCTTCCTACAAAAGAAAGCATAGAATAATGTACTGAAGGAGACTGTTGTGCCATCACATGTTTTTGTGGTTTGAGAGCAAAGATCCAGTCATCGCTGTGCAAAACTCCGCAATACAATTAGGTCCGGAAAAACCCCGGAGTCCGCCGTCATCGTTATAAATTCTGCCGAAGGTCCGAATGTTAAAAAATGGTATTCGGGACAGCCCTAAAACACACATACAGGCACACTTCCATAACTACAGTCAGTGTGTCTGTTGCTAGCTAGCTTACAGCTCATCTCTGCATAGTTAGTACAGTGGCTTTTAGCTGCCTATCAACACGGACTGCATAAATATTTTTGTTTTAGGAATAATAATGACACAAGATGAACTGGAAAAAAATATCTCAGTAGATGCAGTAAATACTGGCATTTTAATTTGGGACATAATTTGATGGTATCCAAAGCAGCATCATCACAAATTAGATGGCTGTGTCAATAGAAGCAGGGTGCTTATGGCCTGTTTATTTCTATACTGATCTTCTGTACTGAAAATATTAACATAACTTTGCTGTGCTGCTGATCTGTCTCTCAGGTCCTGGTAGGGGGGGGCACCATGGAGGAGGTGATGGAGGAGGCTACAGAAGGGGAGGTGATGGAGGAGGCTACAGAAGGGGAGATGATGGAGGGGTAAAGAATAACTCTGTTTGGTCTGCTGCAGCATTGCAGGCTGCAGATGTTGCTCTGGCCCCTGCATCCATCGACTGGAACTCCATCCGGGAGAACAAGGACAAGTATGAAGAGCTCAAGTGGAAGGGTGAGGGCTCATGTTGTCACTGCTCTGCATACACTTCAGTCCCCAAGCATTTGTAAAGGGATATGTTTTTCAGTGAATAGGCCTCATCTGCAGCTTTAAACTCTTTCTCAATAATATTTACAACTTCTCTCAGACCTCCCACCCATGAAGAAGAAGTTTTACACCGAGGCAGAGAGCGTATCCATGCTTACAGCAGAGGAAGTCTGTCAATGGAGGTACATCTAACACAGTTGCCTTTTCATCACAGCATCTAGCTCATGGGTGTAAACAGGGATGTCCACAATATATTATACAATGGTAGACAGCAGTAGAGTCAAATGACAGCTGTCTTTTAGTTGACATGCTTGCAAAACCTCAAACCTCCCAGATTTCTCAAACCAACACTGTTCCCTGAAGTGTTTATTGTCTGCATTGTTTTTCCATTACAGCCGAAGACAAATAGGTGGCACCATTTATCCACCATTTAATGTGTTATCTGAGTAGGTGTGGCTGTAATACTGTATGCAAATGTGTCATGCAGACACGTGCAAGCCTGCTTGTCCTGGAATTCGTCAGTGGTTCTCACTAAAGCTTCATCATGAGGGCGAGCATTTCGGGGAAGTACAGGAAAAGTAGTTTACAAAAACGGATTGACAGTAGCATAAATCTGGTTGTGCAGGTCAAAAGGGCCACAGTTGACATCAAGCACTGAACTGTAGCTCCTCAGGACACAGTGAAAGTGGTTTAGTTTTTGAAATTGAAAAGATATTCTTTGCTCAAGTTGTAACCAGAGCAGAAAAACACCAACACACTACATAGTTGATCTTCATGTGAGGTTTGGGATACAGTACAGATTGGACTAAATGTGGTTTCTTAAACATCTGATAAACACATAGCATATTCATCCTTGTCCACAATGCTCTTGTTTACTTTTCCACAGGAAGGAGAATAACAATATCTTTGTTGACGACCTGAAGGAGGAGGGGGAGAAGCGGAATATTCCCAACCCCTGTCGCACATTTCTGGAGGCCTTCGAGCTTTATCCAGAGGTCATGAAAAATATTGAACACGTTGGCTTTGCCAAACCGACCCCCATCCAGGTATGAGCCTGGCACCTGGGCAGATTTATTTTTGTTGTTTACCGCTAATCTTGCTTTGAAGTATCACTGCTGGTTTGTTGCAAAGACCGTTGCAGAGACCTGTTGTGACGTTTTCCAATTTGCTGTCTGTTGCCATTGGTAATCCCCGTGATTTACTGAGATCCATATGCGGAAATACCCGCATTAACGGCGGCATTGACAGGAAATATTTAGGCTTTTTTTCTTTTTTATTAATCTGTGGTTTTAGTCTCAAAAAACAGAAGTGAAAGGAAATCTTAGATAATAATAATAATACATTTTATTTATACAGCGCTTTTACAGCTCTCAAAGACGCTTTACATTTAAAACCAAAGAAAAGAAGTACATACATTTAAGTGCAAAGACATAAACAGTAGACAATGACAATATAAAACAACAAGGTGCATAAGCATAGTGCAAAACAAAGAAAAGGAGGGCACATGAGGAACCGAGAACGAAAAGCTAATGTTAAAGGTTAAAGGCGGATTTGAAAAGGTGGGTTTTGAGGAGTGATTTGAAGGTGGATGGATTTGGACAGTCACGGATGTGTATAGGGAGGGTGTTCCAGAGGGAGGGGGCGGCTATGGAGAAGGCTCTGTTGCCCCAGGTTCTGTGCTTGGTCCTGTGTGGGTGTGAGAGGAGGTTTTTGTCGGATGATCGAAGGTTGTGGGAGGGAGTGTGGTGGTGGAGCATGTCCGTGAGGTAGGAGGGGGCCTGTCTGTGGAGGGCTTTGTGGGTGAGGAGGAGGATCTTGAAATTGATTCTGTACGGGACAGGGAGCCAGTGAAGGTTTTGCAGGACAGGGGTTATATGTTCACGGGAGCTGGTGTGGGTGAGGAGGCGGGCAGCAGAGTTTAGATGACACGATGTGTTGAGTGCTGAGCAAAAAAACAATTTAACAGTTTTTCTGCATAAATTACCTCTTAATGTGAGATTCTCTTGATCCAAACTGTTGCTCAGAATAATTATTCTGTGTTTATGCTGTATTCAGACCACCAGAGAGGCAGTGTAGGTCTACTATCAATACTGCCAAAGTAAATGATGATGATGACATTTGAATACTCAATTCTCTTATGAAGTGTTTTTATTGTGTTGCAATAAAAATGGTTCCTAACTTTCAAACTGACGTACTTACAACAGACCCTTTTTTATTTTTTACACCTTTTTTTCTATAAACTATAAAGACATTGCCTGGGACAGAAATGTATGTCTTCTAAATTTGAATTGAATCCATCCTGCATCATAAAACTCTCACCGAAACTCTAGTGGGACGCTGCTACAGAAGCCATTGACATTTAAAACATTCAAACATCTATAAGATATCTAAATGTAAATCATAGGAGTCACATTAGATCAGTTTACGTGCTGTAATTCCAGTGACGAATGTGTTCTGGGAAAGCGTCTAGGTGTGTTTCCTGAGTTTTTCAAAGGCTCCTTATCTGGAAATGTTGCTCACTACATCTGTGTCAGTGCCGACCACAAAGAATATGCTGCAGGGGGGAAATGAAACAGCATCATCTCTCCCTCAAGTTTCACTTTCATTTCACAGTAAGAGGCTTGGTCTGATGAAGAGTATTACCACTGGCCTGTGCTTTCAATTAGTTGCAGAGCTGGTTCTGTATTTTGCAATGCCAGTCTGGCAAACATGCTGATGTGAAGGTGTTGTACTGCTGCACCCTGTGCTCTGCTCCAGCTCACATGTTTTTTAATACCTGCCGGTGTGATGCTGTTAGATTGGTATGCCTACCAACCAGTGATCAAAAGCAAAACTTAAGTAAATGTATTACCTGTACATCGTTGCCAGGTCTCATAATTTCAGTAGAAACTTTTGTCGAGTCTGTCTGTCGTTCACGACATTGCTATAATTTGTGAATACCCCTCATGTTTTTAATTGTCCTTTTTTCTGGTTTCTGTTCATGAACAAACAAGATAGTGACACTTTGGATGTAATGGTAGTGAAAAATTTTCACTTTGACTAAGCCAGGCTCGCAGTTTTCCCCCACCTCATGTCTTATGTTAAGTAAGGCTAAACATGCCCTGACTCCAGCTCTGTAATAAATGCATGAAATAAATTCATGTTGATTGTGTGTGAAGTGTATTTCACAATATGTTGATCTTACATGCTGTAACAATTAGTTGGTGGTGGGGTTTCTGTGAAGTGCTGTAAAGTTAGTTGATTAAAAACATACATTAAACATGGCTTAATAGAGACAGTGCACAAATCAGCTTCACTATAACTCACAGCATTCACAGACAAACACTTGTCTTTATCTGGACACATTTTCCCCACAAATACAACATGCTAGCGTTATTAGCACAAGCCTATGGCATTTTACATTGTATAAATTAGCCTAGCAGCTAGCAAACTTTTCCTCTTCTCATATGAAGCCAGGGACAACAGCAACATGTAATAAAGGTAACGATACATAATTTGGCTCCATTACAACTCACGACGTTGACTGACAAAACAACTGTCTCATACTTGACATGTTTTCCAAACAAATATAACATGTTAACGTTATTAGCCCAAGCCTATGGCATTTTATATTGTATAAATTAGCCTAGCGACGAGCAGAGATTTCCTCTGCTCATATGAAGCCAGGATAAATCACACACAAGACTTAAAATGCTATTTTGTGGAGGCTTTATTGTCTTCACAATGTATTGTTTCTTATTTGTGAAATTAAAATAGATAAGAGCTTTGTTTCCACTGAGGGAAATGGTTTCAGCTTACAGAAACAGACAGGAGGTCTGCGTCGACATGACGTGTAGTTACATTTCTGGGGATCTGTAGATTCCTTTTGATAGTGTTATAGTTATTTTTTACATTTCTTCAATCTTGTTTTGCTTAATAACTTTAATACAGCATATATGCAGATTGGTTACTTGAGTAGTCCTCTTCACACCAGCTGTGGTTTTGTGTATGAGTACACTATTAATCTCTGTGTTTGTATAAATGTACGATGATGTTTTTGTTTGTTTCCTCACCAGTCTCAGGCATGGCCAGTGTTGCTAAGCGGGGAGGACCTGATCGCCATCGCTCAGACAGGAACAGGGAAAACCCTGGCCTACCTGCTACCAGGGTTCATCCACATGGACGGACAGCCTCTGTAAGTATAGCACCTGCATCCTTCTCTTCAGCGAATTCTTATCTTTTCTTTTAAGCATCAATATTTATTTCCAAATACTGAAAGAACTGTTTCTTTTCACCTGTTTCAGAGCAGTTTTGATATTTATATCTGTTTATCTGTGAGACACTTTCTGTCTGTTTGTCTTTCTGTCCTTGATAGGCCTAGAGCTGAGCAGGATGGCCCAGGCATGTTGGTGCTGACTCCCACCAGAGAGCTGGCCTTGCAGGTTGAGACTGAGTGCAAAAAGTACCGCTATAAGGGCTACAAAAGGTCCAGCAGTCTTATATTAACACACATCATAAAGGATGACCTTAAATTCAATAATACATTGCGATGTAGAGTTACCATGGTGATGTCTGTACCTTTTCTCAGTATCTGTATCTATGGCGGAGGGGACAGGAGAGGCCAGATCAACTTGGTGAAATGCGGTGTGGACATAGTGATAGCTACACCAGGTCGACTAAATGATCTACAGATGAATGAGCTCATCAGTCTGCGCTCCATCACCTACTTGGTCAGCTGTTTGTGTCTGTGTGTCTTAGTGCCTCAGTTTGAGGTGTGAAATTCTTCAGGTGTTAGGTGCTGGCACAAATGAACGTAGCAAAAGTTTGTGTTCTTTTCTTAAATGTTGTGTGTGAGTACTGACAGGTTGCCTTTAATGACTGCTCTGATCACTGGGTAAAGGTGCTGGACGAGGCTGACCGTATGCTAGATATGGGTTTTGAACCGCAGATTATGAAGATTCTCTTGGACATCCGCCCAGACCGTCAGACTGTCATGACCAGGTAAGAGTAAAGTCACTTTGTGTTTAACATGGTTTTCACACGTAGCTGAAAAAATCTCTGAAAAGGAGGGGGGGGGTGGATCTACTCTTTCTCCCTCATTGAGAAATTCTGGATTTGGCATCCATCCCGCCCACCACTACTGTTTGTGGTAGGTTTCGTTTCCTGCTTCCAGATTCAGCTCCACATGTTTGGGCAGACCTAGATTCAGATGAGGAGTGCACCGATATCCACGACTAGCAGATGTATCAGGGTAGTTAGCATCTTTTATTTGTTTTTGCTGTTAGCTTGTAGGCTAACTGTCAGTGGCTGACACTGGGTTAGTGTTTGTGAAACATGTAATGATATCTGCTATGGTGGGGTGTTTGGTGAATAGTGGAAGGAAGCTCCAGTGTCTGGTTTACATCCAAAAACTGCACACTCTACCAAGTTTGCTATCAAAACTTTCATGATACTAATGCAGCTCTCACTGTCAGGTTTCATTGCTGCTGTTGTGTCAAAGTCTGTTCCCTCCTCAATATGTGTCTCATGGATTTGTTACTTATCTAAGCTAGTTTGCCTAGCATTCATTTGAATAGCAGATTTTAGGGAAGTACACAGGCATCCCCCACTGTAGTAAAAGTTATTATGAAAGGCGGGGACTTTTGAATGGAGGGGGAATTAAATGAATGAGACAGTAGGACACAACCGCAGATGCAATCCTAGAGAGAGAGCATTTACATTCCAGACTTTGAGCATGAAAACCACCCAATGTAATTCAATGTTTCCACCACAGTTTGGAGAGAATAGAGGTGTGCCATATCATCATATTTGATATCATATGAAAACGTCATACCGTGATATTTCGACTTGTTGACAGACTTCATACTGTTAGCCACGGCATCAAGAAGCATGGCTGAAAACGAAATTATTACCGACTCCATTGTTTCAAAAAAAGGAGCAGCATCAGTAGTGTGGAATAAACTGTGGCGTCGTTAGGCCTGGTTTACAAACAGCCCCGGACTTCTAAGACTCTTTTAGCGACTTACCGCTCAGAGGGAACTCATTTGGTGCCTCCCCCTGCAGCAGCACTGTCCTCTCTCGACATGCACACACAGGAGTCAGTGTCATTTTGTAATAAACCTCTGGTAAGTAAACCTACGCGCTGCTCGTGGCTCAACGAGAAACTCCATATATGTGAATGTGTGATAGTTGTGGTATCATAACAGCCTGTCGTCAGGTTACAGCGTGATTATTAGAGGAGAAATGGCAGAGCATAAAGGTCCAGGTGGGAAAAAAAAGCAACTCAGTCATTTAGAATTTTACTAAAAGAAGGAAATCACCTGTTGATTTATAGATGCAAGGGGACATTTTTTGTATTTGGGAGCTGTTTAAATGTGTAATTTGTGGTAGACTTTGTTTTGCTGAACTATTAATATTGTAACAGAATCTGAATCTAACTCCGAGTTACTGCTGTTGTTCACAAACTAAAGAAATTATTTCATTTTTGTTTAGTTTTTCTGAATATTTGAAGGCACACTGTAAAAGTGTATCATGTATTTTGTTGCAATTCTGTTTTCTTAAATAAATAACAAAAATAATTTTATACTAATTTGCCATATTGTCAAGAATATTGTTGTCGCAAAAATACCCTGAAATATGTGATATTATTTTAGGGCCATATCTAGGAGAGTGTTAGAATTCATATATTAATGACCTCAGGGAATGTGTTTCATCATGCTTAAAACTACATGAATTCTTTTTAAAGAGAAAATGTATATATATATGTATCAAACTGCATAATTAATCCACATCTTCACAAATGAAAAATAGATGTTGACTGTTTAATACAAAACATTTTCTTTGAAATGTGAAGTGTAGAATTTAAACTTCCTTTTTCCATCTCAAACTTCCATGTTTCAGTGCCACCTGGCCCACAGGTGTGAGAAGATTGGCCAAGTCCTACCTAAAGAGTCCCATGATGGTTTATGTGGGCACCCTAGACCTGGCAGTAAGTGGATACACTCAGTCATCTATGAAGTGTCTGAATACTGGAGACACTGTCTGTCTCTAATTAATTAAATTAAATGAGAGCAAACTGAGAAATACTGTTTCTCTCCTACAAAAATGTCTCAAATACTTCTTTTTATTTATTCTTGGCCATTTCTTTTAAACGTTTCCTAAGCTTCATGGCTTTTAGACAGTGAATTTGAGATGCTGTGTGCTGTTTCCACACTGCCTGTCTTTCCCTGGGTCTCAGGCGGTTAACACAGTGCAGCAAAGAGTGCTGATTGTCCATGAAGAGGAGAAAAAGGCCTATGTGTTTGACTTCATCAGAAACATGCTGCCCCAGGATAAAGTCCTCATCTTTGTCGGCAAGAAACTTGTGTGAGTGGGAAGTCAGTTACAACATATGACTTTGAATCAAGAGAGTAAATTATACGTTTTAGCCGCCACCCACAGTCCCTAGTAAAGTCCTGAGTCAACCATATGTTTACGCTGGCAGCTTTTACCACCTATACTAACAGTTCCATGTGTGCGTCTTTTCATTTTCCACCTCAGAGCTGATGACCTGTCCAGTGACATGTGTCTGCAGGGTCTGGCTGTGCAAAGTCTCCATGGTGACCGTGAGCAGTGTGACCGTGAAGAGGCCCTCAAGGACTTTAAAGAGAGTACGTAACATGAAGGAAAATGTGGTTTTGAATAAAAGGCTTTCTCTAACTCAGGAAGCAGAGGTGACTGTAACTTACATTATTGTTGGAGCTGGTGGTCTTGTCTTGAAGCCAATGAGCTTCAACTAAAGTCTGAAGGATCAAACTGACCAGAGACTGTAATTTTTTTCCAGGCCGAGTTCGTATCCTGGTCGCGACAGACTTGGCGTCTCGAGGGTTGGATGTCGCTGACATTACACATGTCTTCAATTATGACTTCCCACGTAACATAGAGGAGTATGTCCACCGCGTGGGCCGAACTGGCCGAGCAGGGTAAGTGTGTGTCTGTCTACGGACGTTCTCCTTGTGTCACATGATTGAAAGTCACTACAGGTGGTTGTTGTGTTGTGTGTCTGTTGTTGGGTTAGTTTGTGATGTTGATGCTTTTATGTGTCAGACGCTCAGGTGCTTCTGTTACCTTGGTAACAAGAGAAAACTGGAGGATGGCCCCTGAGCTGATTCCAATACTGGAACGGGCAGGACAGGTTAGTACACACACATTATTTTGACCACAGAAATTTTCATTTGTTTATTAGAAACGAGATCTATTATTTACCCCATGAACTTTTTATTATGGATACAAATAGGGCTGCCACGATTAGTCGACTAATTGATGACTAATCGACTATTAAAATAATCAGTGACTATTTTAGTAGTCGACTAATCGGTTTGAGTCATTTTTCATGGAAAAGTACTATAAAAGTACCCCAAAATACTCTTATTGCAGCTTCAGACGTTCAGATATTGGCAGCTTTACACACTCTCCCGTGACAGTGAACTAAAACCCTTTGGCGTGAGTATGAAACAAGGCATTAGATGATGTAATTTTGGGGTTTGGGCAAGACAGACATTTTTCAACATTTTAACACATTTTTCGATGAAGTGATTAGTCGACTAATCGAAGAAATAATCGACAGATTAGTCGACAATGAAAATAATCGGTAGTGGCAGCCTTAGATACAATTAAAGTCAAAGAGAGTAGGAGGGTCTCTCAGTAAGAGACACTTTCACATTTTTAATTTTCGTTTAGTCACGTGAGGCTGATCATTCCTGAGCGTCATGTTGGATGTGAGTGACATAATTTCATCATTTTTCCAGAACATTTAGCCTAATAAATACTTTAAAGTGTTCAGTAGACACCACAGCCATATTCTGGGTTAATAAATAATGAATTCACAATCAGAATATCAATAAATTCAAATAATCAGTAAATGATATGAATGCATTCTGTGTCTTGGACAGGACACCGTAAAAAGTATAAATACAAGAAGTAGGTTGTTCTTCATGTGCAGGTGTTTGTTAGACAGAAACGAAACGCGGCCGCTCTGGTGGTTATAACTGTCTTTATTAGTATGCATGTGCAGACACAAACTCCATCAAAAGTCTGTGCAGCTGTTAAAGCCAACTGGCAGCTGATCCAGCTGTGATCAGCTGCCGCCGCCATCAGAAACAGATGTCGCTTTAGAGGGCAAAATGACTGAGTTCTCTAAACACATATTTCCTCTTTTCCTCTCCTTGCATATCCAGTGGGAGGGACCAAAAGGCAAGTGAGGGAAACGTGGATGCAATTTAAGAGGCTCGGGAAGTTCCCAGTGCTTAAATAGCCCATAACTGTGTAATAATACACAGTTGTGTCAGTGATGACACACAAAAGCCCATCCACTCAAGATTCCCTCAACTATGAGAACATAAAACATCCATAGGCTGATACACTTAAAAGTCCTGACTAAAAACAAAACTTGACTTTGGAGGCCACTGGAGTACACTGAACTCACTGTCATGTTCAAGAAACCAGTTTGAGATGATTTGAGCTTTGTGACATGGTGCGTTATCCTGCTGGAAGTAGCCATCAGAAGAAGATGGTTGTTGGTGTCAGACCAGCCTGTCTGACACCAATAACCATGCCACGTTCAAAGTCACTTAAATCACCTTTCTTCCTCATTCTGATGCTCGGTTTGAACTTCAGCAGGTCGTCTTGACCATGTCTACATGCCTAAATACATTGAGTTGCTGCCACGTGATTGGCTGATTAGCTATTTGTGTTAACAAGCAGTGGAAAAGGTGTACCTAATAAAGTGGCCAGTGAGTGTATACAGCATACAAATGCATGTCCTTTAACTTAAGATTCATCCAATGAAATATACAAAATATAGATAGACCAAAACGCATTTTAGTTTTTTATTTAAAAAGATATTTTTACATATACTCTGGCACAAAGTCACAAATCAGTTCTCAAAACATTTTTGCAACCAAAAAGCTGGAATGAACAGTGCTATCGAGTGGGAAGCATGTGTTATGTTCTTAATTGATCTTAATTAATCTGTCGAATTTAAAGTAGATTTATTAAAAAAATCTAGCAGTGCATATTAAAGTGTAATTTTTGTGAATCCTGTTGCAGGAGGTCCCTGAGGAGCTGGTGCTGATGGCAGAGCGATACGAGAAGCACAAGAGGGAGAAGGAGCTGTGCAATCCAAGGGAACGAGAGGGAGGAGAAGGACGAAGAAGAGGAGGAGGAGGGGGCTGGAGAGATGGTGGAGGAAGAGGAGGCAGGGATCGAAGCGAAAATTGGGGATTCTAATGCATGATTGTTCATGTAAGTCCACGTATGCTACAAGGTTTCTCACACAGGTTTACAAAACTACTCAGGTGGAAGTACAATGGTGGAAAAAAGTTTTTGGACACCCTTAAAATTTTACACAATCTCAAATATTATCATGAAATATTTGTGGAAAAATCTTTTTTGTGTTTCAAAAGGTGTGGCTGCATTAGACAGATACAAACAAATACAAATTATATTTTTTTGTTTATTGTTTACAAGAAAAACTAACAAAACTAAATTCTTGACAGTTTCAATATGTCAGTTCTCAACATTGTCGGTATCAAAGTCAACAAATAACAGAGAATGTGTTCAAAACTGAACAAAAAATAAATAAACCATCACATCATCAAATTAATATTTAGTAGTCCTGCCATTGGCACGTAGTAGAGCTCTAATCCTGGCTGGCATGTTCCCCACGAGCCTTTCACACTGTTGAGGGGTAATCTTGTCCCATTCTTCTTGAATTACTGCTTTTAATTCTTCTAAATTCTTTGGTTTATGCTTTGAAACAGACCTTTTGATAATCCACCACAGATTTTCAATGGGGCTCATGTCCGGGGATTGAGCTGGCCACTCTAAGACCTGGATACTGTGCTCCTGCAGCCAAGTTCTACTGGCCTTGGATGTGTGGCAAGGGGCATTATCTTGTTGAAACATCCAGTTTTTACCTCGACGGAACAGTGCACGCGCAGAAGGGAGCATGTGGGTTTCGAGAATGGTACAATACTTGGTAGAGTTCAATGTGCCATCACAGACAGTGAGATGACCAACACCAGCAGCACTCATGCATCCCCAAACCATGATACTGCCTCCACCATGCTTGACAGTAGGTACTGTACATGCTGGAGATAATGCTTCGCCTGGCCTTCTGCGTACCCTCACATTAGTAGGAGGAAGATAAAGCTGGAAACTGGACTCATCTGACCACAAAATCTTCTTCCAATTCCTGGCTGTCCAGTTCTTGTGTGCCTGGGCCCAACGACGCCGGGCTAACCTCTGTCTCTCATTGATCAGGGGCTTCTTGATAGCCTTGTAGGACCTTAAGCCATGATCTAAAAGTCGGCCACGTACAGTGCGGGTGGAACACTGGACACCAGTTTGGTTTGACCACTGCTGCTGAAGCTCCTGTGATGTCATTCGGCGGTTTTGCCTGCACATGCGGATCAGGATGCGGTCATTTCTTGCTGAAGAAACCCTTGGACGCCCAGATCTTGGTTTGTCTTCCAAGCTGTTGGTTCGTCTGTATTTCTGCAGAGTGTATCCAACTGCTGAAGGACTGCATCTGCACTTCCTGGCTATCTGGCGGCAGCTGTACCCTTCCTGGCTGAGAATCTTTATCTTCAGGCGTGTTTCCTGCGTTAGGTTCCTTGTTTTAGTCATTTTTGTGTCTGAAGAACTTTCAAATGTGCTGGCTTTATGTAGACACGAAGCTTGGCAACAAAAATTGTGTCTTTTAATAAAAAGAACGACCTTCATCACTGGTACCAAAATGACCCAATACTCAAAATTTCTTATGTAATTTTATGGAACCAATCAATTTTAAGTTTTTAATGGCTTTTTTATTTATTAGTATTTTGGCTGTGACTGTACTAAAAGAAATTGCACTTGAAGACCTAAGAGTGATTCTTAATGCAATATTTCACAAATGCATGGGGTGTCCGAAAACTTTTTTCCACCACTGTATTAGTCCTGTATTATATTATAATGTAGGACTAATGTTAATTTTCTTACACTTCTCTCAGCAGGATGAAGCAGGATCTGAAACCGCTTGTGTTGTAATTTCTTTTGAATGTATATATTTTTTTTTTATTTGATTTATTTTCTTTCATTTAAAAGTTTGTTTGTATTTTGCTGGATCATCATCCATTATAAAATGAGGCAGTTACACCTCATTATGTTGTGCTCCTGTTTTTAAAAAATGTTTAAAATGCACAATTTTGACAGTTTTCTTCTGTCTGTAACTCACCAACCACAGCAGTATGTAGTATCACTCTGAATATTAAGTTTATGTAATTTCTTGATTTGGCAGATCTAAATCTGCAAAATAAATTCTCCTTTTAAAGAGACGTTGCAGCCAGAGTATTTTATTGGCTTGGTAACTTGAAATATTCTCCATATGATGCAGTGATGTCTTTGCACTATTTCTGTGCGTCCACTAAAATGGGGGAACATTTACCTGGAAGATGCTGAAGGTAATATAATAAAATTATTTTTATTACCAGAAGTGATACCCTGCATCAGGTCCAAAAGCTCTCGTGCAGTCCATGGACAGGAAGTAAGTTTGCTCAGCTGACCATGTAAGATTTACTAGAAGAGGTGGTTGTGTGTGTGTGAGGGGGATCTAAGCAGGAAATGGAAATCAGAACACAGCTGTAGATTCACATAAATGTATTTTTCATTCCACATTTTTCTTTGCTGCTGAAGTGGGCCATGCCAGCTTTGTATGTTTGGCTTTTTCAACTGAATGCAGAAGTGTAAAACTATTTATAGATGTAGTTGAAAGAATCTGTCAGCACTTCTGATTGGGATGCAGGGTACTCGATGACAAGAAATGTTAGGAAGGTCTTGCTATCAGAGCACAGTCACAATCACTGAACAACAGTCTAACCAACTACAAGGCACATACCAGGGTTTTAAGTGTTTTATTCTGTTCATCACAAATACTTTAGAGCACAACGTTATTGATTATTTTCCAAAGCGTTCAACGCACAAGATATTTGAATGTGTATTTTCTACCACTGGTGCATGTAGAGTAGATGAAAGATCAGATTTAAGTGAAAAGTCACCTACTATACAATTTTTATGGCATACTATAAGAAGTTATAGTAATATACTAAGAATAATATAAGAATACTATATGAAGACACTTTTTTACGATATTTTAATTCTATACACTTTTCATCGCATATAATACTATGACAGTTTTGGAATGATATTTTTATCGAATACTATGCTGTCACTTTTTATTATACTTTTATAGCACTATGCTATGACATTTTCATTCATTCATCTTCTAACCGCTTCATCCTCTTGAGGGTTGCGGGGGGGCTGGAGCCTATCCCAGCTGACATCTGGCGAGAGGTAGGGTACACCCTGGACAGGTCGCCAGACTATCGCAGGGCTGACACATAGAGACAAACAACCATTCACGCTCACATTCACACCTATGAACCCACGCTGACACGGGATCGAACCGGCAACCCTCTTGCTGGCAACCCTCTTGCTGTGAGGCGAGAGTGCTAACCACCACACCACCGTGCCGCCCGCTATGACATTTTTCTATTTCTATTTCTATTTTCATTGCATACATTGGTATGACACTTTTTAATGATATGTTTATGGCATACTTTACTATGAAATTTTGATATTTTCATTGCCTACTATACAATGACATTTTTAGGATATTTTCATGGCATACACTACTATCATATTTTTTAGGATTTTTTTTTTTTTTATACTATTCTGTGACACTTTTATAGGATGTTTTTATGGTACTATAATGTTTTCATCACATTTTTGACGACGTACTATACTATGACATTTATATCACATTTTTGGCGACATACTGTACTCACTTTTTTGTGAAATTTTTGATGAGGTACTATACTATGATGTTTTTATCACATTTTTGACGACGTACTATACTATGACATTTATATCACATTTTTGGCGACATATTGTACTCACTTTTTGTGAAATTTTTGATGAGGTACTATACTATGATATTTTTATCACATTTTTGACGACATTGTATACTATGATGTTTTTCCAGGGTGTCCGCGGGGTCTTATAAAGTATTAAAAGTTGATGAATCAAATGTTGGAAAATTAAGGCTTTAAAAAGTATTAAAAACTCTTAATCGCAATTTTATGAAGTATAAAATTTTCTTGGCATTCATGCTTTGACAAAAAGTATCCATGAATGTATAATTTATTTTCCTCCTCGCGACTATTACAAACAACGATATGTAGGTAGACACACTCTGACACATTTTTGACGACATGCTATATTATGACGTTTATATCACATTTTGGACGACATACTATACTATGACGTTTTTATTACATTTTTGACAACATGCTATATTACGACGTTTTTTCATGGTTTTTGGACGACATACTATACTATGATGTTTTTCATGATTTTTGCGTCATACTATGACGTTTTTTCATGGTTTTTGGACGACGTATTATACTATGACATTTTTATTACATTTTTGACAACATACTATACTATGACGTTTTTTCATGGTTTTGGACGACGTATTATACTATGACGTTTTTATCACATTTTTGACGACATACTATGATGTTTTTCATGGTTTTTGGACGACATACTATACTATGATGTTTTTCATGGTTTTTGGACGACATACTATACTATGATGTTTTTCATGATTTTTGAAGACATACTATACTATGACATTTTCTCATAATTGTTGACGACATACTATATTATGATGTTTTTATCACATTTTTGACGACATACTATACTATGATGTTTTTATCACATTTTTGGACGACATACTATACTATGATGTTTTTTCACATTTTTGATGACATACTATATTATGACATTTTTATCATATTTTTGACAACATACTATACTATGACGTTTTTATCATTTTTGACGACATACTATACTATGATGTTTTTCATGGTTTTTGGACGACATACTATACTATGATGTTTTTATCATATTTTTGACAACATACTATATGCTATGAAGTTTTTATCACATTTTTCACAACATACTATACTATGATATTCATGATTTTTTAAGACATACTATATTATGTTTTTATCATATTTTTGACAACATACTATACTATGATGTTTTTCATGGTTTTTGGACGACATACTATACTATGATGTTTTTATCATATTTTTGACAACATACTATATACTATGAAGTTTTTATCACATTTTTCACAACATACTATACTATGATATTCATGATTTTTTAAGACATACTATATTATGATGTTTTTATCATATTTTTGACGACATACTATACTATGACGTTTTTATCACATTTTTGAAGACATACTATTCTATGATGTTTTTTCATGATTTTTTAAGACATACTATACTATGACATTTTCTCATAATTTTTGGCAACATACTATATTATGATGTTTTTATCACATTTTTGACGACATACTATACTATGATGTTTTTTCATGGTTTTTGAAAGACATACTATACTATGACATTTTTATCACATTTTTGACGACATACTATTCTATGATGTTTGTCATGATTTTCCACGACATATTATACTATGACGTCTTTATCACATTTTTGACGACATACTATCCTATGACGTTTGTTTTCATATTTTTTACGACATACTATACTATGGCGTTTTCTCATTATTTTTGACGACATACTATATTATGATGTTTTTTTCACATTTTGGACGATGTACTTTACTATGATGTTTTCATCACATTTTTGATGACATACTATTCTATGACGTTTTTTCATGGTTTTTGGACGATATACTATACTATGACGTTTTTTCATGGTTTTTGGATGACATACTATACTATGACGTTTTTATCACATTTTTTAAGACATACTATACTATGATGTTTTTTCATGGTTTTTGGACGACATTATACTATGACGTTTTTATAACATTTTTGACAACATACTATACTATGACGTTTTTATAACATTTATGACGATATACTATACTATGATGTTTTTCATGACTTTTTAAGACATACTATACTATGACATTTTCTCATAATTGTTGACGACATACTATACTATGAAGTTTTTATCACATTTTTCACAACATACTATACAATGATATTTTTCATGATTTTTTAAGACATACTATACTATAACATTTTCTCATAATTGTTGGCGACATACTATATTATGTTTTTATCACATTGTTGATGACATATAGTACTATGACGTTTTTGTGCCATTTTTGACAACATACTATACTATAACGATTTCATCACACATTTGAGGACATACTATACTGTGACTTTTTTATCATTTTTTGACAACTTGCAATACTATGACATTTTTGATTTCACATTTTTGATGACATACTATACTATGAGGTTTTTATCTCAAATTTGACGACATACTATACTATGATGTTTTTATCATATTTTTGACAACATACTGTACTATGATGTTCGTCATGATTTTCCGCGACGTACTATACTATGCCGTTTTTATCACATTTTTGATGACAGACTATACTATGATGTTTTTCATGATTTTTGACAACATACTATACTATGATTTTTTTCATGGTTTTTGGACGACATACTATACTATGACGTTTTTTTTGTCACATTTTTGACGACATACTACACTATGATTTTTTTCATGGTTTTTGGACGACATACTATACTATGACATTTTCTCATAATTTTTGATGACATCCTATATTATGATGTTTTTATCACATTTTTGATGACATACTATACTGTAATGTTTTTATCATATTTATGACGACATACTATACTATGACGTTTTTATCACATTTTTGACGACATACTATACTATGATGTTTTTCATGATTTTTTAAGACATACTATACTATGACATTTTCTCATAATTATTGACGACATACTATATTATGTTTTTATCACATTTTTGATGACATACTGTACTATGACGTTTTTGTGACATTTTTGACAACATAGTATACTATGACTACTACTACTATGTTTTTCATGATTTTTTAGGACATACTATACTATGACATTTTCTCATAATTGTTGACGACATACTATATTATGATGTTTTTATCACATTTTTGACGACATACTGTACTGTGACGTTTTTGTGACCTTTTTGACGACATTCTATACTGTGACAATTTTATCACACATTTGACGACATACTATACTGTGACTTTTTTATCATTTTTTTGACAACATGCAATACTGTGACGTTCTTATCACATTTTTGACGACATACTATACTATGATGTTTTTCATGATTTTTTAAGACATACTATACTATGACATTTGTTGTCGACATACTATATTATGATGTTTTTATCACATTTTTGATGACATACTATGCTA